TGGAGGAGGTAGACAACCCTCCTGACACAACTCTGCTGGAAGTGACGTCGCTCAGACGGTGCCATCAACGTCTGCGCCGGCGTCTCCACGCGCGATCGCATCATTTTTCTCGAAGCAACCCGCCGCCGCAAGTGCTGCCAAAGCCAGCTCAACTACGTCCGCCGAGGCCCGCACAACATCGTCGGTTGAGGACCGCACAACAGTCTGTCTGCTGAGTGATATCACCCCCCCCCTCATTGATCACACTCCTTCAAGGAATGGTGGAGTAGGTGAATATGTTATCACACACCCTTGACTTATCACATCATCCCCTGATTGCGGGCTCCGTCAACGTGCACTTTATCACACCGGTGACACAAGATAGCACACCCATTCCAGGAAAGCACACCCGGTGATAAGTTTTTGAAACTCCAAAATCTTATCACCGGGGTGTGCTTTCTTGTGTCACTTACGGCATATGTGTTCAATTGGACACCATTCGACTGTTGCCGCCGTCAGTTCAGAACCAAACGTACGCGTTAGTCTAGGCACAACGACGTCCGTTGGTATGGCTCCCCATGTGTCAGCCTTTTTGTCTGATTCTTGTAGATCATTGAAATTTGAAGAATCTCAGTTGTAGCACAGCAGAGTAAAGTAACACGAGACATCTCGCACGTCTGCTTGGGTCAAAGTGAATACGCGCTGTAGTATGCATGGGATCAACATAGGATATTCTCCCTCAGGCCAGAGGGCAGCTAAATTCTCCTCTCAAGAGGTGACGAGGAAAATTGCTAGGAACTCTTATGTGCGAATCCGGTCTACGAGAGTATGGAACGCGAAATACAGAGAGTAGCGTCACGCGTTCATTCATGGCAATTAATTTGTGGTATAGCAGTAGCACTATACCAACAACACGATACAATGTCGACAACCTTTTCATTTACGAGTAAAGATCAATGGCAATATATATCACACCATGGCTCACTATGCAATAGATGCGGAGTCCGGTCATCATCATGATTCGATGTTTGCACACCCTTACAGCAGCATCCGGTGCGTCATAATCGGACAACGAGTAGTATTCATGCGTTAGTTGTTCACGCACGGGCGTCGGCCTATTGAGGGTTGTCCGTTGACGAGAGAAAGGGACGGCTGGACCCTTTTCGTGATAAAAAATGAAAATCAGCACGCATCGCAGGAGGAAGGTGGGGCACGAAATAAAAATACAACTAAGAAAAAGCCCCGGTGTTTACCCCCCTCCTATGTGACCCTGGATGGCTGTAGTTGTACGAAAAAATACGCTGAAAAGTGTACAAAGTACTCCACATACACTGAAACACGTGTAGTGCACGTCTCACCACGAAAAATGGGGGGACTGTCGCCATAATGAATTGGACGAAGACACACAGCACATTACATACACAACACACGGAAGAGAAGCCGATCCAGCGCATATTGGTGTTAAGTCTGCCTCGCTCTGCCGTAGTGGCACATAGGCCAGAGGACATTCTACGATCGTTTTCCACCAGCGTCAGCCTTGTTTGTCTGGCGGAACTGAGGAAAGTCGCTTCACGGCAGTATCATTCGTGTTCATACGGTTACTGTCTTAGCAACCGTATCATCGTCGTCCACATTCTGGCTCGTATGACACCACTTGTCTACAACTATGTATGAACTACATTGTCCACACAACTACATATGAGCTACGCCGGCCAGGCGAAAAAAGCTCTGTTGCTCTCTACCTGCACGCCGAATGACATCCGACACACACATTGCTTCACATTCAATTTCAAAGACGCCGAGAAAACCCGCTCGGGGGACAAATCTATCTTTTCAAAGTGCTTGAAGCCGCATGGTACTTGAGCACACAATTGCAAGATATTTAGAAAACCGGTCGAGGACACTTTTTTTGCCTTCGCAGCTCAAGTGAGGCCGTGCACTCAAGCACTCAAGCGCCAGATCCCGAGGGGCCTTTTGCTCAAGAGAGCAAACGTCGATGCAGCAGTCACTGTTTTCACCATAATAAGAAGTTACGGAAAATCACCAATTCAATACCAAACGCACAGCAGTGCAAGATTTTGATTTTCTCTGGTGCTTGCCAAGACCAATTTGTGGTCGAAGCACGCATCCTCGCACACATACAAGCAGTTGCGCAATAATACTGCTTCCGTGGGAAAACCGTTCGGTCAGATCTACTGTATATATTTGGGCTGTCCACCAAATGGTGATCTTCAGGCAGATCTTGGGTTTGGTGTAGTCTTTCCCGGCGGACAACCTGAGAAGGAGCGAGAGAAAGACCTACAAGTACAATTCAGGAGCACACAGGAGCGCAAACAGCGTCCACTCGATGGTTGACCAATGACTCAGTCAGCTGTAATCGTGCGGCTGCTGCCCATAACAGAGGCCAGCCAGACTGTTCCGCTATGGGCGGTGGGGGTTGGCTTGCGTATCGGCTGTACTTCGCTGCCTTGCCAGCACTCGACTGTCTTACTCTAGTTTAGAAGCAAACGCCATGACTACATCCGCTGTGTGCTTCTCTACCCGTCGGCCTGCCTCGCTCCAATCACACGCTCACCTCTCATCTTCGACCGCACAAGAAAGAAGGTCTGCGGCGCGCCGAGATGTAAGTCACCAACCTTCTCCACCCCTCCTCACTCGCGTAGCACGCTCTCTACGGCCGCCGTCCCGTACCCAGGTCGGGATCTCTCTCCCTCTTCTGTGTGTCGTGGTAGGGTGGTATTGGGGAGGAAGGATGTGTCCTTAGACTGCGTCGTCCGGGCTAACCGATCGACCAATGAAATTACTCCAGTCCTGAAGCGGGACAATAACGTGCACACGCTGTGTACAGCAGGAGTCCGCGGGTTCTCTCACCAGAGGACCATGGACTGCGGAGAATATTGGATTACACAGCCCAGGTTCCGCATTGAAAGTACTCACAAGAGCTGAGTGATACGCACAGGTTGTGTGAAGAGAGAGATGGGGAGCGAGAAGATGAAGTGCTTGGTCGGATACACCAGCTGTTCTGTTGGGGGCTTGCACATACATGCCATCGAGGCTCTGACTCTGACCCCAATAGAAACGAAATGAAATCCTGCCAGTTATCATATTGCACTTATTTTGTATTTCAAGTTTGTTTGTGCTCTTTGCGCGATATCATGCACACATGACATCGCGGAGGACAAACAACATCTCTCGACACGCAATACTCCCTCAACGCCTATCGAGCGATGATGATATAATATATGGATGCTGTGCCGATGGGGGTGGATTTGTGCCGGGATATGTCTAGTATTGCATCCCATCCCGATGAAGGTCAAAAAGGACATGTTGTATGTACGGAGTGCTACCTCGCAACACAGCAGCCTTTCCTACTTTTTAGGGTTCGAGCAATGGCTCTGGTACCAGATGAGACGGAGGGAGCCTTTCGTTGCCATTGGGGAATTGAATGAGTTGGGGTTTGCCAAGCCCGTCCAGCACAGTGTACACGGCACCCGGTGGGTGCTCGGTTTCTTAGTCACCACCAACAAGCATAGACTGCATTGGATACTTGGTGCCGACCTGCAGGATAAATATTCAAGTTGTGAAGACAGAGTCACTATTTTGGAAAATAGCACCCAGTCAGTTGTTTCGGCCAATCTTTGTCGGCCCAATGTTGCTTTTGAAACGCCGCGGGATGATGATACCACGCATGCCCAAATTACTCCTCGATGCGCCATCAGGGCATCCTCAGAGAACAGCAGGTGTATGCGATAAGACTAGACACGGACAAACATAGAGTGGGTGAAGGGGTTGGCATGCGTGAACCTGGACATATGATCCGTTCGCGGTTGGTCGGTATTTGCGTGTCGCTCTTCATTATTGATTGGCAGATTGGCAGCGTCCACATGCATGGGTCTGTTTGGTGCACATACTGGCGAGATACTGGCAAAAGGATCCTAAAACTTCAGAGAGACCAGGAGTATAAGATTCTCAAACAGGTTAGAACCTTTCCCCAAGCCGTAGTGGTGGGGACGGGGAGAGTTTGAAGCCAAGAGGCGCGAAAGCGCGCCGTGAAACACGCGGTGGAACCAAACCGGGACTGTCAGGATAGGAGCTGAGCGGCCAGCGGGGGAACTTTGACTGCAATGATTTCCGCAAGGCTATGCTTCTCAGCAAACAGGGCACCAAGGAACCAAGGAGCCTCTCCGATCTCCGCTTGCGCGATCACTTCAAAACGCCGATAGGGGCAACTGCCTTCTTTGACAATGACATGCATCCTCTGACGTTTTCCGTCAACCACGGCCAAACGTGTTGTTTGTGTTCTGGCGATTGAGGGACAAAGGGCGACAAATTCTCCGTTTTTGATGGTTGGAACTGCTGTGTTCTCTACGTGCTATTATTGCGTCTTTACTCGACAAGTGTGTGTGCGCTTGCAAAAGCTTCGGTTCCTTGCGTGGGTGTTTTTACTGCTTGTGTTGATACACATATATATCTCCATTTTTTCCCTAGTGGGACACTTTCGGGAAAGCTGTGGGATGGGATGGATGGAAGAAGTCTACACTAACTACGCAAGGTTTCGGGCTGATCTTTTGACAGTTGCTTGCGGGCGTGCACACGTCGTCTGCCTGCAAGGTCACGGGGGAAATCGTGTGTGGACTGGATGTGCACGTCCTGGTCTCTGCCGACCTGGCCTGTTCGGTGGCCGTGAGCGCTTTCGACAAAAGATGAAACGGCCAAGCAACATCCCACCACACATAATCTTTAGGGCACGTGGGGGGCATGGCCAGGCAGACGGACGAGTGCATCGCGGGTCTGTGACCGACCGTATCGCGATGTTCCCCTGGCTACGAGGGCCGGGGCGGAAGCAGACTGGCTTCTGACGAGAGGAAAAACGAAGGATGGGCATTAATATTGATATACAGCATACCTATGCATACGGGAGCAGACTGGCTTCTGACGAGAGGAAAAACGAAGGATGGGCATTAATATTGATATACAGCATACCTATGCATACGGGAGGTGAAACCGCCTTCGGGCATATGGCAAAGCAGGATCTTACTTGGCCACCAAGAAGAAGAGCTTTCAAACAACAGCAACCAACCCGAGGTGGCCGGTGCTCTCCGAATTTACAGGCAGGAGAAAATAGATGTCGACCCGTCCAACTTCCCAAGTAGTCACCCACGCTAAAAACTACCTCACCCAAACTTAACCACCCACCCCCTTCACGTCCCCGTCGCGCGTACGAAGCTCATACGCACAGACAAACGGCAACAGCCGCGAGGCCACGTTTGCTACTACGGCAGGTTTTGCGGTAGAGACCACGTCACGACAGACCTCACCGTACACACTCTGGTCTTCAGAGTGATCGATGTCCAGTCTCTCACCAACATCAACGCATCCACCGAAGCAGGACAGAAACGTTGGAGCGCCGAGGTACACCCAGGTTACCTTCTACATGTACGTACCACCAGGTGCCGACCTGAGTGCCGCCGAAACCAAACAACCCTCAGCGCTCGCCCGGAAAAAAAATTGCTCAGGGAACCGGATATAGCGTGCCCTTCTTGTTCCGAATGCATACATCCAACCAACGTCGACTGTTACGTTCTCCACCACGTTATCACGTGGCTAGTGCTGCTCCTGCGGACGGCGACGATCGACACTAAAAGAAAAACGATAAAAATAAATGATAAAAAATCGTCAGACGCAAATATTGACTTCAAGAACCCCGACCAAACGACCGCCGGTTACGCTACGAACGGTAGTGCCCGCTTCTTCGCCCCTAGATACCTATCCCTGCGCTTCGCTTATCTGCGCGCTCTCAGGAGTACTGTTCTTCTCCGTCGGACACCTCTTGTCCAAGATCACTACTACTTTCGTGAGCTTCTCCCCCCCCCTCCCCCCCCTCCATTGACGCGCATCTATCGTCTTGTAGCAATGGTAGCACACAAGCCGAACACTACAGTAGTACCTCATATGTACCCCACCTGTTACCCCACCTTTTTCGCTTTCGCCACATCAGCAGTGACACCGTCAAACCAGAACGATAGCTACTCCAGCACCACACAACAGAACAACGTTGACTTGAGGTGCAAGTTATCGATATGAGGCTGTACATTCTCGGGCGTCGTGCTGCGCTTACGACGGATTTCCAAAAGCTTTCACAGGAAAAACAATGATGACTACGGCAAAACAAAAAAACTGAGCAGAGACCTACGCCGTATCCACCTCGTGGTGCGAACAATACAAGCGTGTTTGCAGCGAGGTTTGCATCACCGCCGAGGTAAAGGATCACACGCGAAATTACCATTCTAAAATTCTACGTTTGATCAGCAACAGCAACTTTCGACAAGAAAGGAAATACACAAAACAGAAAGGCACCAGGTGAGGCAGAGGCCCGCATGGAAGGAGCAAGGCCGAAAACATTCAAGAGCAAACCAATGTAAAAAGAGGGAAAGACACGTACAACTCTTCGTCCCGTGAGTCCCTGCTCCTCCGTCTGACCTTTAACACCCAACGAAGAGACACAACACACTTTTAAGCTTCACTAAGAAAGTACGCCCCGCCAAGTCCCCCCCCACCCCCCCCACCCCTCGCGTGATTATCCTGTTTGCCATCCCTTCTTTGTCGTGCTTCATACATTGCGGAGGAACTTACAAACATACCCTACGATTGCTTCAACTTACAAATGTTGTGACCATCAAAACAAACACACCTCGGTTACGCCAAGTACGTGAAAGCGTGCATGGTCCGTACGTAGGACAAATAAAAACGATGCGACAGAACCGAACCCCCTCTCATTCTTGCTAACGTTTCCGCGGCAACTGCTGTCAGCCTTTCCCACACCGATGTGTCAAAATGGTTTCCAGGGAATTTCCAACAAAATGCGCATGGACTAAACATGTTGACTTTTTCTTGTCCTACCCAGACCCACACGCCCTTACAGTAACAGCAATATGAAATACTCCCTAAAGCTACCTTGGGTTTAAGGCACTTGGCGATGAACTCATGCAATGGCAAACCCCGTCTCCCCCAGCCCCCGACCCATCCCTTGTGGATGCAAGCGTTTACCTCACAATCTCGATTCGGTCCTACAGCCGGCCGCAGATTCAAGGGCGGCAGAACAGCTTGAACATCTCTAACATGACAAAAAAAGCCACCAACTAGCCGCCCCCGTTTCCCCGTCCCGGACGACGTGCCGGAAGCCAACGCTCTCCCTCTTTGCGCCTCCGTCATCCTCGTGAAAAAATGGATGATCTTCCTCTTCCTCCCCAGACCAAGGCAAAAAATCGCTTCCCTCGACAAGAGGAGCATGTCACGACACACAAGATCCACCCAACGCCCGGCCTCTCCTCTAGACAGCACCTTTTCGAGTCACGTGAACATCATTCTCTGCAGGCCATCTACCCCGTCCCCGGCGGTGCTGCCAGGGACGAGCGTGAACTCGTCCCAGTCCGATTCCACCTCTCGCCAATCTCGGCTGTACTGTACCTTGGCGTTTTGGCATCATTATTCTTCACCAGGGGAGAACAAGATGCTGTGCAGGCTATCGCCCTCCCCCCCGGCCCCCGCCCCTGGGACGAGCGTGAACTCTTCCGCGTCCGAATCCATCGCGGCGATCTCGGGGACGCTGCGGCTGTCGTCATGCGCATCCACCCCGAGAAGTTCCTGCAAGGGTGGGAATTGGTCGCGGTGCCCCGACGACTCCTGCTGCTGCTGCTGCCTCACCTTGTTCTGCGCGAACTCGAACAGTTCCGCCGGCATCTCTGTTCCCTCCATGCCCTGCGGGGCCGCCGCACCCGCGCCGGCGGCGACTGACGAGCCCGCCGCGTTACGCAGTGAACTCGCTCCCCACTGCGGCTGCTGCTGCTGCTGCTGCTGCTGCCGCTGGTGTAGCCACTGCGGCTGCTGCTGTTGCTGTTGCGACTGGGGCGGTGCAAGGAAGGCGGCCGCGGAAGGCCCTCCTCTGGGGTGAAGGGCGGCCAGGTCGCCCCTTCCAAGGCTCCGCTGTTGCTGGTGGCTTCCCTGCTGGAGGTCGTCGTTCCAAGTCCACCCTGAAGGAAACATGTCAGGTGAAACGGCTCCCCCGCCAGCACTGCCACCCCGGGCCTGAGGGAAAGGCTCCGTCCCCTCTTGCTTCGGGGGAAACATAGACGCGCCCGTGCCATCGAAAGGCGCGGCTGCGAGGGGGTCATCCAACCTGCACTGAGACAGCGGCGCATGATGGGGCAAAGGCGACTGCTCCTGCGGGAACGGCGGGGTCGAGTACAAGTCGCCGCCGGCGGCACCCGCCTCAGCAGCAGCTGCAGCCGCCGCGGCGGCCTGCGGGAAGTGATCGATCCTGTTGCCCCCCCCGCCGCCGGGACTCGGGAGATGGGGGGAAGAAGAGGCGGCAGGAGCGGCATCACCACTGCCGCCGCTACCGTCGCCGCCGGCCAAGCCCCGAGCGCTGCTGCCGTTGCCGCGTGGGGTACTGGTCGCGGCACCCTCTTCGTTGACGCAGGCGACGGGGCCCAGAGCCCCCCCGGGGAGCCCCCCGCCAGCGCCAAGACCAGGGACAGCGGTGGCGGTGGTGGTGCCGGCAGCGGCTGCAGCCTCGGCCGCAGCCTGCGCTCTCTTCACCTTGAGCATTTTCTCCTGGTGGATCCACGCCATACCGCTGGATACGTGTGAGCGGAGGGCGGGCGGGCGCGTAGGCAGCGAGAAGTGGTTAGGCATCCCGGCGATACCGGAACAAAAAACGCTCATTTTGTCCACCGTGGGATCATGTTGTCTTTCGGTTAGAAATTATCGCCCGCCCATTCTCAAGAAAGCCGAAAGAGTCCGCCGTGTTCCCGTTGGTCTGTCCCGCGCTACCGACGATTAGCCCAACAAAACTCACTGCCGTGCCAATCTGCGTCGACACGTCTCTCTCGGCCGGCGAAGATAACACGCTCTCTAGAAGAAAAACAAACAACACATACATTTGTGTTCAGCCATGTACGAATCTGCGTTTGCTCACGGTGGTCGTCGTGTCATACCAAACGCCCTTTGCATCAGCTCTACAGCACGAACGCTCCCGTCGTAACCTCACTTGCAGAACTGGTGCTTGCAGAGCATCGCCATGTCCATGTCTTCCGCCGCCTCAATGTTCGGTCCAGCAATGTCGAGGCTATTGTACAGCTTGCGAAGCTTTTCGTACGATCCCTTGTCAACGCCGAGTATCGCCGGCCTCTTCAACATCATCACGAGGCAGTGTACGTAATGTTTGCTGCGGGGGGGCGGGGGGGGAGGGGAAACCGGCAAATGCAAGCGGGATCATGGGGTTAACGGGCCGGCGCCACCTCTTCTTGTTCTGCCGTGGGTGTTTGTGCGCTCGACGCGCAGCCATCTGAGCCCGTGCGCAGCCAGATTGGCCTAACGAAAAAATGAGGGTCGAACAAACCCAGACGAGAGGCGGGCAACAGGAGGCTTCACTCACAGGGGACCGTAGCGAACCATCCCCGGGACCTGGCAGATGATCTTGGTGAGCACGACGGTGCTCTTCAGCGCCTCCACAGGATCCGTCTTGAGCGGGAGCCGCATGAACTGCATCGCCGCGCGGATGTAGAGCGCGCCGGCCGAATTCTTCAGCCCTTCCCTGCGAGGAAAAAAAAAGAAGGTTTGGGTGGAAGACAGAAAAGCAGGGGAATGGCTTGCCTCTGGGAGAGCTCCAGCGAAAGGATCATGCTACCCCGGGACGTTCGTCAAGCATGGTGCTCGCAGTCGCTTGGCAGTAGCGCCTGGCTCCTCCCGCCAGGTACGGCGACGGTCCAGCGAGTGTCGGGGCTGGGGAAGGGGGGGGAGCAGCACTTGCGGCCTCGGAGACCTCAGACCGGGGAGCTGGAGCGCAGACGCGTCGAGACGCTCTCGCTTCCTCTTCACTGCGCGCGAGCTTACTTTGTCAGCACACGTGGGAGGAGAACGCTACACTACGGCCGACGAATGGTGCCGACTAACACCTTTCACAACTCCGCTCACGGAATACGATCTTGTGGGGGGGGGGGGGGGCAAGCACGACACACGTACCGCGAGTTGGCGATTTCTTCGATCGCGGAACACTCGTGACGGTGCTTTTCGGCAAACCTCGTCGTCGCGGGCAGGTCGGAGTTGACTTCGTGCAGATCTCTCCAGAACGCCTTGAAGACGCCGTTCGTGTAGTAGCGAACCATGTGGAACAGCCCGGCGTCGCTCAGCATGGCGAGGGTCATCTGTCGCACACACGTAATTGAATGGCATTTCCGAGGTGTGTGTATGCGAGTGTTTTCTCGACAAAAATACCGTAGCCGCGTATTGAAAAGCTACTGCTGCGTGTGTACTCGTGTTGCGCGACGAAACACGAGCGGTCTTGACGACCCGTTCATTGACAACGTTCCTTTCGTCCATGAAAAATATCGAGAAATTCAAGCACACAACCAAAGAGGCGACTGCAACCCGACCAATAAATTGACCGCTGCACAAAAACTGGGGGCACGGACAGACAGAATCTCGAAGAAACAAAAGCTCACCCTTGCACGCGACGTAAGAATACTAGAAAATACAGGAGACAGGTAACGGACGTCGATTCATCCAGAACATCCAATGGTAGCAATCCGTGCAGTGTCCAAGCACAAGAGGTATCCAACCGTGTTCTCGTAGAGAACCCTTACCGCCTGTTCCAAGCCCCCCGCTACCCCCCCCTCCCCCCCCGCCCACCGCGCCGATTAACGCTGTTCCCTGCTCTCGATACCCCTTGCTTACCGTGGGAGGCTCGCCGTCGGCCTCGTAGCAGCACTTGTGGATGACATCCTCGTCTTCGGTGTAGTGCAGCACCCGCACCCGCTCGAGCTCTTTCATGATGTCTGTCAGCTCCTGCAATTCAAGCCCATTGATGCGCATCGAACGTCGTGATCGTCATGTCATGCGGTAAATCTGTCCGGATGAGCGAGTTGCCGGCCCGGTCTTCAAGGCCAAAAGTACGGGGGGATCGAAACCGCAACCAGTTGCATCTTAATCCTTCATGCCTTTAGCATGAATGCTGTGACTCCCTGGGGTTTGACTACATATCTCCTCCTATCCTTCTCGGGGCACGACACAATAAACGTCAGTTGTGGTTGAAACGTAAATCAATCAAATCAAGGGAGCTCTGTGGCAACCAGTTCGTTTGGAGGCCGTCGTAATGCAAGATGGCATCAACAGATCAACGGAAATCAACCAGAGCGAATCTCCACGCGACGAGGAAGCTTTTAGTGCTTCCACGGATATTCTCTCTCTTGATTTGCTCATAAGCGTCATGGTCCACCTCTGTCTTCGCATTTGGATATTCCACTTCACCGAAAACAAATCACTGGAACTCCTTGGTACCACATCAGCACTCAAGTGCCAGGGGGGGGGTACGCAGTGTTTCCTCTTCAAAAATCCAGGAAATGTCTGCATATCTCAGTTTCCAAAGTGCAACTCCAGACGAAACTGCGTACCGCACATGTTAGTAACTGAGATCATAGTCCTTGCGATACACAACAGATGTAGCGGTCTGCGATTTTCCAAACGATCCTTCTATAATCGAGATCGGCGACCTACAAGCAGGAGTTCTGGAAGCTGTTGTGGGGTCCGATTCTGAAACACGCGGAAACGCCGAATCAGTGACTATTGTGAGTGTGTGGGGCCGCGAACTTCAGCACAGCTCTTCCCTGACATGTCCTACTCGTGGCCATAGTCGATTTGAATGACTGGGGGCAGGAATATGTAGGTGTAGTCAAAAGCAAAGGTGCTCGAAGCGTTTCAAAATCGGACCGCACAGCAGCTTCAAAAATCCTGCTAGTAGCTCACCGATCTCGATGATGCATGGATCGTTTGGAAAATCGCGGACCGCTAGTCTGCAGTATATCACAAGGGCTACAATCTCAGGCACTTAACATTGTACACAAGCGAGCGCTGCGCAGGGCGAATTTGCGAGGGTAGTTTCGTACAGGAGTTACAGTAGACCTTGGGAAACTGATTTCCTGGATTGTTGTAGAGCAGACACTGCGCACCCCTCAAGGCCCTTGAAGGGAGGGAGGGGGGGGGGGGCGTACTCATTTGTTGCTTGCCGTAGTCATTTGACCATTGACCACGCGTCCCTTTCGAGACGGAGCACCGTTCCTACACCTGCTAGAGACACCACCAACATTTGGGAGCTCTTTACGTTTCTGCCACAAACTCCATAAAAAATTCTTGCACATCTTATCCCCGTCCTCTAGGGCGTCTTGTGCCCACCATCTATCCCCAATTATCGCGATCGTTTTTTCGCTGTTGTCTAATTTACCAAACTTGTCCATGTCACACCCTCTCTGTCTCATTTCCTCCTCGAGATCCTCTCTTTTCCTCTCTTTCGGGAGGGAGGGGGGGGGGGAGTATGTTGCGCTTGTGGACCGAGGGCGAAAGACATTTACCACTCACCATCGGGATTTCTTCTGATGCATCCAGGCTGTCAACCAACTTCTGGGCGCGTCCAAGATATTCCGCAAACAGCGCGCTGTTGTCTTGCCACGCGTACACCATGGCCATGATCGTGTACGCCCTGAACAAGGTCGGAAAAAAGAAGAAGGAAAAAACACACCAGCACGAGTTTGACGTTTGGTACGTGGTCTTCTGCGCGTCGCATACATTCGACGACGTTCGATGTTTTTGCCAAACGGTGTTCCTTCGCCAAGACAGGCCAGAGGGGAAGGGTGGCAGGAGCGCGCGACGTACCGCACGGCAGGCACAACATGAATCAGCCAGGTGCGGTCACCACGGGCTGATGGGCGTGCGCCTTTCCTTGTCCTCTCCTGTCCCCATGCTTGCAACACCTCAAACTAAATAGGAAAGACACAGAGCGCGTCCGGACAGCGGGGACCGACTGCGCGGCTGATGCCGCCCGACAAAACTGCAAGAGCTGGCACAAAGAACAAGACGGCAAAGAAACACCCCGGGGCGGAAGGCGCATCGATACCAAGCTTCGGCAGGTACACCACGCGTCGAACTGCCTTCTTGAAGCCCGCAGGTAGGAAACAGACCCCCCCCCCTCCCGACGAGCAAAATGCTACAGCCGTCGTGTGACGATGCGCCCGAACGCAGTGGAAACCCTCCTCAAATCGGAGGCGGGGTCGAAGAACTCACTTGGCCGTGGGCACGTCCTCGGTGCACAAGCCGTCTACCGCCTCCTCCGCCAGCTTAATGTAGCGCCTCACCTGTCGAGGACCGCGGAAACAAATCGACGAGGTGGTGGCCGTCTGTCTCTCTTGCTGTTGGCGGCAAAATTTTGGGGTTACATACTCCCCGAGGGTGGAGAATACCGACTGCTGCTGCTGCTGCTGCTGCACACCCACGAACACAATTTTAATTTTTTGTTCGGAGGAGAGCTTCTTTCGGCTTGAGGCTGGCCAACACGTGCGGCACGTTGTTGGTGTACAGGCAGGCTGGTTCAGTGTCCAAGCCAAATCTACAGCTGCACGTTTTGCTTTAGGAGAGCGGGGGGGGGGCGGAGTCAAACACCTTCAGCATTCTACGCGAACAGGATACTGGCGATTGATGCCGACTGCGCCGCTGCTTTCGAGTCCACTTCAGCTTGTTACCGAGACCGCTACAGTACCATCCAGTACACAAACAAGCAGTCCGGGTAACAAGATTAAGATTCCCCCCGGCCGACTCGCCGCTGACACATACAAAAAACTATGCTGCAGCAGGACACGAACACCCTCCAAAAGAGAAAAAAGCGTGCGTCCAAGGACTCACCGTGGCGACTTTAAGGTTGTTGGTCATGGCGCCCAGCGCAATTGTGCACCACAGCATGCACGAGAAGGCCTTGCTCTCCTGCGTGTTGGACCCGAACTTGTGAATCGCTAGAGCGCCCGAGAAAACGCCTTCCATCGACTCTGCCCCCCCCCGCAAGGAACCCTGCTCTTCGGCGGGCCTGAACAGCACCTCCGTGATAGCCCGTCGGACCGTCCTGTTGAGTGTTTTTGATCAATTTTGGTGTCGTTGGTGACGAGAACTGTGTTGTTAAAGGTGGCGGTGCTTTTGTTTTCTTTGAGGAGCGGTAACTGTCACGCAAGACTAAAAAGGCATACTTGTGTACGACACCCATGGGTGACGCACACGGTTAGACACTTTTGACTACTGTGATGGGTTTCAAAGCACTTCTTCTGTAGTGACAGGTGCAACAATCGTGTCCACCGCTGCTGCCGCAGCTTGGCATATACTCGGAGCAAATCGTTCACCCGACGAGCTGTCACAAACCCTGTGCCCTTACCATTACCATCACCACCCTCGGATTCTCAACGTCACACTTCGATGCCATGCCACGCTGCCTTCAACATGTGGCCAATGCCTCGAACGGTGCTCATATTTGCAGCCTCCATTTTTCCCTTCCCTTCCCTTCCCCCATTGCTATCTCCCTCTCACTTCTGATTGGCCAGTGGGAAGAAACCCAGCCGGTCGAAGAAGTCGCTGACGTAGACGTTCTCCTTGAAGCCCACGAGCCCCGTTGCCGCCGAAGGGCCAAACCGCGCCCTGTGTAGCGCGACGACAGCAGCACACGTGTACGTGAAACGGCCAAAAGGTTCTCATCATGGTCAGCTGCAGCGATACTGCTGTAGCGCAAACGAAACGAGTAAAAATATGAACCTGTGTATATAGATATTACACGACACAACGAAAGGACCTGCCCATGTTCCGCTGTGATTCGCAACACTCTTTTTTTCCTCGGCAAAACCAAGACAAACACAAAACCTATTTACAAGAGTGCAGATCAAGCACCATCGGGGTCGCCAACCCTCAACAAACTTCACCCAAGAGCAGACCCTGCCGACACATCGCTTGCCTTGGGCGCGCACCGCTATTTGCGGCCGCCGCCGTCGCCGCACTTAAGGATGCGCGCAGCAGTACCTCTCGCAAACCGCTTCCCTCCCCGAACCGTGAACACGTCGAGGAAAAAAAACTCCGCTTCCCTACCTACCACACCGCCAACGGCGCAACCATGATGCTCCAAAACGAACAACAAACGCGTGTAGTCTCAAAAACAAGCGCGGCGGTCGACGCTAAAATGCCGACAAATTAGTCGTCACGAACACAAAAACTGGCGTTTCTTTCACAGGCGTCACCCGGTCGGCGCGATCGATGCCAACAACAACACGCATGGTGTGTTTTCGTTTCGTGACGTAAAAAAAAAAAAAAACACGATTCTACCTATAATACCACTGTACAGCAACGCCTTACCGTTTCATCACCGCCGACGGCGCCTTCCTTCTCGAAGACGAGGCCGCAACCAAAGCAGTAGAACTCCTGGAAGCAGCAGTCCCAGCCGTGGCGCCGCCGCCGTTCCGCTGTCCACCCGAGGCGCCGCCGCCATTCCGCTGCGCGGCCGAGGCGCCTTCTTTCCGCTTTGCAGTCCGCTGTGGCTTCATCTCGAAGATGCATTCCTGCTGCTTCTCCTTGCACAGTCTGTTCCACGGGGTGGAATATATACCATATACAACGTTGGAAAAACAACAGGGCAGGTGACAAATCAGTTAATTGGGACCCAGTATAGTGATATGTATAAGGTTTTAGATTTGTCTCTCCTTCTACTGCTACTTTTGTAGCTTCGTCGTGTCGGAAGCGGAAGGTAGAACGTAAGACAGACAACAGCCTCTCGTCTAAAGAGAAATCCGTGACCAGCCCGTGGTGAGACCCGAGACTTACCGGGGGTCGGGGGGGGGCTAAACATGTGGTACGTGTGCATGAAACTTGCAATATGTTCACTTCCGTGTGCATGTTTCTTGTGGCTTCGTCCCAATTAATCTGGGCGCCACAGTCTAGACCACCTTTGGGTTTGGATCGGTCCACAACACTCCGTCTCCGCGTGTGCCGGTCGAGCAGCAGAGCCCTAGTTTTGGGGGGAGGCCGGGCCACATGCTCTTCAAAGAATGAGACCCACAGCTGCTGGGTTCATGCGTGTGAATGGAGGCAAGAGTAGACGGAACCGCGTCTGAACGGATGTAGTCCTGCAAGGTCGACGCTGGAGGGATTTTCGAGAGCAGCCACTATGCATACGTAGGCCCACGCAGCTTCCTTTAAGTTTTGTGCCATGTGGTTTGTGCGTAGAGGGGAGACGACACTGCCAAAAAAAAAACACCGACGGCCCAACTGGTGTGTAGTTAGAAAACCTCGGGGAGAGGGCAGATGTGGATGCATGCCTTGATCTCGCATCACCAGCAGCGAAAAGGTGTCGGCATCTTTCATTTAGTATGTACAAGGACAAAGCAACAATGGCGACCCGCCTTCTTCTAGCAAAAGTTCAAGTTTTGTTCGCCACCGCATGAATATTCGCCTTGAGTGTTCATACAAGTGGTCTGCAAAAACAGCAGCCACAGCCGGTGACTACAGGGCAACAACGTCCGCGTCAGTCGGACCAGCAAATACCGCACGGATGTTGGAAGGGTGAAGACAAAGACACCACCAACAGCAGCAACACCTGAGAGGAAGGCATGCAACACTTCCTGTTTATACTTGTATGCATATGCATACGCATACGGAGATGAGAGTTGCAAATAACAACCAACACAACAAAGCGAGCCTGGAGTTTTCTACTATAATAAGTGCGACACCGACAAATAACGAAATTTTTCGGAAGCACACAGGGAGAGAGTAAACATGAAGGGACAGGGGGCGGGTTCGCCGAAGAAAAAACAACTGCAAATCAGAGAGGAACAAGGACCGGGATGTCAACGCGTGCAAACAGACGACTTCTTGCTGGCGGAGGATGGAGGATGACGGCTTACTCGCAAAGCATTAACAAGTAACTCGGAACTGTTCACAAGCGAGACAGGTCCTATCTTCAGCAGCGAACAAGTCATGCGGCATTGGCATGCCAAGAAAACAGCAGTCACCGCGGCGGCAGATTTTTTTGCTGCAACGCAACTGCTGTGTGTCTACTGTGACGTACACAAAATTCGCCACTTTGTACATGTACATACTAGCGGGTAATTATAGCGGGTAATTATGCGCTAAATAGCTTCTTGACAAAACAATCCAGGGAGTACTTGGGTAGGGAGTGGGCAAAAAAAAAAACTTCCAGTGCTGCTGCATGAAAGAACACCATGCGTGATTGATCCCTCTGTTGCAGAACAAAGCTGGCATTGCCTTCTGCCTTTCCACGGTGCAGGGAGCGCACAACGTGGAGTGGCACAGTAGAACCAAGCACTTCACCGACGGTGAAGAGAAGAGGGAGAGAGAGAGCGAGAGCGAGAGAGCGACACAGAAGCAGACGCACAAAACCTGCTCTTTCCCTCCCTACTCTCTCTCCGGCTTCAAAGACACCAACAAATTGTCATGTCATCATACAAGTAAATGTTCGCGACTTCTGTTCGGATGAATAACAGAGCTTGTGATCCGCCACTCGCCTAAACCCCCGACCCCTCATGGGACAGAGCCAGCCTCTTACTTGCACTGCTGCTTCTTCCCGTCGATTTCGATGTAGTCGCAGCCCTTCTTCCGCGAGATGCAGAAGTTGCAAGATGTCCGAGTTTTGCCGACGACTTGCTGAACCTGACCTCCCGGTTGTTGTTGAGGCGACGAGAAACCCACGATTGTAGCGTTATTGAGCTCTTGCGTCCCACCCTCCGCGCGGCGCGCCGGCGGCAGGGTGGGGCTGCTGCTGCTCGAGCTGCTGCTGTAGTTGTAATGGGGCGGCTGCTGGTGTTGTTGGGATGGGTGCGCATAATGCTGGTGCTGCTGGTGCTGCTCGTGCTGCTGGTGCTGCTGGTGATGCTCCTGCTGTGCCCCGGTCAAGCCGTACATGGTGTGGTTGTTCCCACTCATCATGACGCCCGCCAAGGCTGCTGTGCTGCTCCTTTCCAGAGTGTTTAGGGAAAGGCCCTCTGCAGAGACGGCCGCAGATAGAGAGGGGCGCCCACGCTTCCCAAGGCAGCTAGCTCACGCTGAACCCTGTTTTCCCCGCCCCTACCCTGCTGGGGGCACCGCTGTTTACTTCAGAATGGGAAAAGGCCCCTGATCATACCCCGCCCGACCCAGCCCAACGCCGACCCCCCGATTCATTGGCATTGGCATAAATACACACACAGAAAGACTACCCATTCGAGATATACCCACAGTCGATTCTTCCTGGCACTGGATTCACCTGCGTGCTGCTAATGTACCTCCGTTTTTTCTGGCAGTGTAGCCTGGCTCGGCGACACCGACGGTGAGGACCTATCCGATGTGCCGGTACACTCTGTGTTTGTGTACAAAGAGATCAAGGCGCATTGCGACCGATTCTCATTCTTTCCGCACGCTCCAGACTGATGTACACCTCCATACAGCGCCTTGTGTGCCGTTGGAAGCATGTTCGCTGTCATGTAATGCACGCTATACCTGTGGGAAAAATCCGCGATGTATCGTTGCGCACAGAACAGCAGTTGTTGGGACTTGTCTCTACCAGCATACCACGAATTCTCCCTCATACACATTATCTCAAAAAAATCAAGACAATAAATCTACATCATCGTATAATAAATAATAAGACCTGATTATTTACCACTGCTGCTCTGCTATTCACGACGAAACAGGCGATACACCGCGGGTGAGTAAATTACGCGGTGTCGATGCCAAGTCTGTGCATATTCATGGGGCAGCGACAAGTGCGTTGGCACGCCTAGATCTGTTACTGAGGACTGGGGTGTGCTGTCCACAAGGCCGCTGTCCGTAAAGCCGAATCAGGGTCGAGATCTTAATCTTGGTACATACCGCCACCTGCACGATCTGTTGTACAGCAGTACTGTTTTCACTATTAGATCCATCCACCAATATCCACATGTTGTTGACGCAATGGATTCATTGCTAATCTATATCTTATAGACTCTTCTATAGATAGAGATAAATGGATTCGTTGGGAACACTGAGAAAATAAAAAAATCCACGTGCTACTCGCGCCCGCGACAGCCACAATCCCCCGGGCTGTCGGGCATGTATTTGCCGTCCAACACAACAAAAAAGTGCAAGTATGAGCTATTTATGTGCGCCCGCTGTTCAGGAGATTGGGTCATGACGGGGCGTACGTGGATCGTGAATGGTATTTTATGTATTTAGGACTCAGATTTGCGGACGGACCAACATACTTTGGGCCGCACCTGCAACCTCCGGAGGCACGGACCCAGCAAAAGATCTGGGCGTGCGTGCTAACGCGCAGGTCGCTGCTCCATGATGCCCGCTACAAGTAGTTTGACATGAGACATATACAATACACATTTTGAGCCGGAAGTTCGTTCTCGATTGTTTTGGCCCATATCTTGGATTTAGACTACGTAGTCTACAGCAGAACCCGATTGCCAGCAGGCTCTTCATCACACCCTGAACATTTACCATTCCGTTGTAATGATGTGCGGCATGTGTGGACACCACCGTTAGGTCCTTTACCGTCGTTTGCAACACACCACCTTCTCCCTACCTCAACCACCCCCTCCGACTATTCTCGTGCGATGTACAAATTAGTAGTCCCCGCGCACAAAACACGCAGATTTCGATTCGGACAAGTTTCGAGAAGAATTTGTTAAGTGACAGGCGACTTGTATGGATTAAGATCTGCCACGAATAGGAGACCTCCTTTCGGGCAGGGGCGCTCACGCCACAAAAAGAACAACCCGTGCAAGCTGGAGGGGCGAGCCGTACCATGCTGCCGAGCAGTAGTGTACACACCCCTCGAACCAAGATGTGTACAAGAACTAGCTGAACTTTCGACCGCGATTTTTCCGGGGGGTAGTCTGGCATCTTGGGGTCCATACGCGATTGTCGTACACCGCGAATTGTCACACACTACCGCGGTGGTGTACAATCTGAAACACCGAAGTCCTCCACACATCGCGCGCGACGAGCCGCCGGCACCTTTTCTCTTTCGCGCAATGCTTGGCTCGAGTTCTATGAGTGGACGGATCCACAGCCCTCCCAAAGAAGGTACCAGCGGATCGCTAGATTTGCCAAGTTTTCCTTTCGCGTATGAACAGGAGACTTCTTCAAAGTGAGCTGACCTCGGCCTATGTAGGCGACGATGCCATGCACGGCTGGATGCTGTTGCTTTTCTCCCCATGGGCTTGGTGCTACACGAAGAAGATAGAGAACCATCAGCAAGATGGGACGAATATATACTCACCCACACACGGCAATCCGCAGAGACTTTCTCTCACTATCTTCGGAGTGTGTAGATGTAAGTTACGGGAAAGATTACCTCCGCATTTCCCCTCTCCTCTTTCCGTGAGTGTCCATCGGTGATCGGTCCTGTGCGTGTGGAACAATGCCCCGTCCTCTCGAGGACGCGTGGTCAGTCGTTTACTCGCTAAGGCATGGACAACATGAGTACACCCCCCCCCTTTCCCATTGTAAGTGCACGCCAATGTACTCATGCGAACAGTGGTGATCACTGTTGTGGGATCGCTGGTGCCCACGAAGGCGTCGCTCACACCATACCACGACAAAGCATGAGTCCGCTCGGTATTGCGTGCCGCTTCCTCGCCAGATGTCGACAAAATAAACTCACCCTGCCTCCAGTGGTGGACTTGAACCACTTCCGCCTGGGAAGTTCGACTCCGCTCGAGTTGGGGCTCCCAAAGTCAGGGAACTCCGGCTCTACCCGAGCTGAGGCATCCATGGTGACGTCAACGAGAGGGTTTGCGTTGGAAGGGCCTCACCACACCCAAAAGCAAGACAAGGGCGTTGCGACCCAAAACCGAAGTCTAGAGAGATAAAACAAAGTAGTGTAGCTCGCGACCAAGCGGTTAGATGACCCATGTTGCCGCATGCAAGCCTGAGGCTAGGCAACAACATCAAAGGGTGAAAGACATTTTGACAATATACACAACAATGGCACCTTTACACACAAGAGGAGGGTTTTTGCACCTTGGGGAGCAAATGTGCATAACCTGCCATCTCATATGTCTGTGGCTTGAAATCGCCGGTGCTCGCGTAGCATCTGCAGCCACATGCGCGGCCAGGCAAGACTGTCGGCATTGCTATCGCGGGTGAGGCCGCCGTTCGTTCCGCCATCAACGAAGGCAGGGAGATGGGTGCACACGGAAGCTGTGGGCGGCTTTGGGGGCAACAACGCCTCCTTCTACGAGAACACGAGGTACCTCCGGGTGAAAATATTTTGCATGCATCTGGAGACAGTTTGCGGGCCCCTTTCATGAATGAAAGTCCGTTAGATCTGCCGTCGGGCACTTGATGCGTCCGCGTGTTCTACTGCTGCTGAACGGGACTGCTGTACCGTCTAAGAGCGAACGCTTGATGCTTGTTTTTACTGCCCGGCTTCGGACTCTTCTCTCGCCCTCTTGATGTAAGGCCGGGATATCCCGCTCACGCATTGAGAGCTATCGAGGCTGAGATTCGCCGAAGCGGTCTCACCGGTAGCGGGGAGCTCTTGGTGGATCTCGGCGCTGGTACAGGGAAATTCACGCGCAACATCCTTCCGTTCGCTCTCTCGGAAGGTGCCGTCCGGGCTCCATGCTCCGCTCCCCTTGTGCTTGTAGAATGAAAGTTGTTGGGGAGTTGGTGTAACTCGTGTCTTCCTGCACGAACGCGCGGCCGGCATGTCCACCGAGTGCAAAAGGAGCCCCCAACTTCCATCCGATACCGCTAGAAGCTTGAACTTCGTCCGATGTGCCTCCGGCGATCCGAGATTCCTCTTTGGCTGTCCCTGCACCAATCCTCGACACGACGGTATCCCTCACCTCGCCTCTACGTAATACGACTGTACCACTTGTTTCTATCCCCCCCCGCCCCCCGCATGTACTCAAACTGCTGGCTGCGTGACGGTTCTCGTTTTCCACTCCACGTCGTCGCCGCCGGGGGGGACGGGGGGGGGTACTGTCCAACCTGCCGGCTTGCGTCGATTGTGAGGGTTCAGGCCTGTCCTTGGTTGGGGTGGAGCCGGTAAAAGCCATGCGAGACCAGTTCAAGGCAGCGGTGCCTGGGGTTCGAGTCGTTGAAGGTGTGAGTTGAGGCGTGCCACCCCGCCCCCTGCTTGTCGCTCTTTGGCCGGTATGACCCTCGGGAGTGGAGAATACAGCACGGAAAACGCTTATCGTTGTCCGAGGTTTCGACGTATCATACGTGGAGCAGGCTATGATTCCCTGTAGAGCTGGACGATGAGTTTCGGGCAGAAGGATGCTTGGCTAGAATAGGAAGGCTTCGGATTTGGTGACAGTCGAGTTGCGCAGGCGTTTTGGGCATGACGCGCCCGTCAACGCCAGCTAGTTCACCGCACATAAGTCCTACCCGTGAATTTGTCCTGCTCCCAAGTGGTGCGTCCGTTGCTCTTGGTGGCGAGCAAATGTTCCGCGCACGTCTCAACGGTCCCGACTGCCTTGCTTCAGTGTCGTTGCTCTGCGTACAAAGCCGCCCGGCCGTTGATGCTGCTACGGACAGGTGCCGGAGAGGCCATTCCTATCCCGGATTCCTCGGCCAGAGCGTTGGTCGCACCCCAAAGCTTTCACTGGATGTCTTCGGCGGCTACCCTGCGAGAGGTACACAGGGTGCTCGTGCCGGGCGGGCTGTTTGTGCTTATGTGGAACACCCGCGATTGCACAAGGCCATGGGTGCGGTGAGAATAACACATCACCCTCGCTTTTTTTTTTTCCAGTGGTGTAAGGTTGGTCCTGCTGTACAGCTTTGCGGTAGAGGCAACAAAGGAGTAGACGGGAGTGTTGATCATCGCCAGGCTCCACTTCAACTCCAGTCTCAACTACCCGTAACATAGGCTCTGGTTCATGCCCAACGGCGAACTGTGACGCGGAACAACCGGGTGAGTGATTGCTGTCGAGCCCCTTGATGGGGCTTTTAGTCGTGGCTTGATGGCGCTTGGGTTTCTCCTTGCGGCTGATTGTTCACTCTTCTAACTAACTTTCGCGTTGCAGCGCACTCGAAGACATAATCGACCCCTTCTACGGCGACGATGTGCCACGGCAACAAGGTGGACAGTGGAGGCAGTCCTTCCGAGACCTCGAGCAGTCAAGGTAACTGCGTAATGAAGAGGCCCATCCCACGTTTGCGATATACATGTCCGTTTGCGGCTCCTGCGCTACTGTTCATTCCGCGTATCTGTAAGGTGGTAAACCGAACCGTGACCGTTTCGGTTGGCAGCAGTAGCAACTGCTGGGAGAAGGGAATTACGAGTTTCGTTCCACGTTTCGTGCTTCTGTTGTAGGGTTGACACGCGCCCTGATAACGGACCGAAGCATCGATCGTTTTTCGGAGAGTTAACCGAGCAGCACTTCAAGCACTCGAAGCTGCTGACGCTGGAAGAGCTGGAGGGCGGAATGCGTAGCATCAGTGTCATCGCGACGAGGTGCGTGATTTTGCTTGCCTCTCAGGTTTCACCAGGCCAAGAAGAAAATGGTGCCGTCCATGACACAAAAAAGGTCCAAATCATTCAAGTGTTTGGGCCGAACGCCCTCAGCGTGAACAACTATCTCATCGCCTGTCTCGCAAGACTCTATATGTACAACCTCCGCAAGGTTGTCCCCAACATTGTTTCAGGTGTTCATCAACGATCTGTTGAAAGGCGTAGAGGCAGTCCGGAAGGGAGTAAAAGTAGGAGAATTTTGGGTGTCGGGAATGCTGTTTGCGGATGATTTTGTTGCGATGTCTGACACCCTCTGAGGAACTTCAACTGCAGATTGACGCAGCGAAGGAGTTTGCTGGTAGGTGGAGATTGTCTGCCAACGTTAAGACGAGTGCCGTCATGGTATGCAACGAGGACAGAGAGGAACCAGTCTTAGAGTATTGATGGAAGTGGGGAGTCGAGGAGCTTGCAGTAGTGGACCAGTAAACATACCTCGGAGTAGAGATCGCAAAAGACTGCTCGTGGAATGCACACATGTCCAAGGTAGCGGAAAAGGGCAAAGCACGAGAGGGACGCTACACCCAATACTCGCAAACCGGCACCTCGATACACGCATCAAAATGACAGTTTTGAAGAGCGTAATCATACCGACGCTACATGGGAAGGAAATAAGAAGGTAGTGAAAGAACTCGAGCCGGCGCAGATGAAAGCAGCGAAAATCATCCTAGGATGCTCCAAGCGCACAAGTAAGGCAGCCGTCAGGGCAGAACTGGAGATCCGATGCATACGATCGGGAAGAGACGCAAGGAAGCTGATACAGCAGTATCGTATGGGCGGTATGGGAGAAGAGAGGCTGCCGAGAATAGCTTGGGAGGCGAAGTGGGCAAACAAGAACAAGAAGAGGGGTAGACAACCCACGGAGTGAGTCAAGGATGTAAATGACGTATGGAAGGGGTTGGAAATCGACGAAGATGAAACGCTGTAAATGGAGGGTCTACAGGGGTTCAAGGAGAAGATATCTGTTGCTTGTGCCGAGAGAGAAGAACAGAATCTAACCAAAGAACCCGAGGATAAGAAGGGTCTAGAAGTATCCGGAATGTTGAAAGAAGGAATAGGGTTCAAGGACTACCTACATGGACCAATGGATGTAGGGACAAAGCTTGAGGTCAAATTCAGGACCGGGGACATAAGCCTTCGGTCGACGAAGACATACGACGGTAGAGGACGAAGAGGATAAGTTCAAATGTGATTGTGGCTCCGAGTGCGAAGACCGTGTTCATGTAGTTGCAGAATGTCCGTTGTACAAAGAGAGGGAAGTGTACCTGACTGAGCTGGGAAAAATAGAGGAAAGATTCAGGGAGATGTTTGAGGCATGGAATCGTCAGGAGAAGACGGTAGCTGTACTGGGGCATGGGAAGTGGGTTGAAAAGGCGGGAAGGGATATCGATAGGATAAATAGGTTAGGGAAGACATTTTTGAGCCAACTTTGACGAAGTAGGAAGGACGCGTGGTCAATGGTCTAACCGTTCAGGCATGCAAAACATAAGAGTACGCCCCCCCCCCCCCACCCCCCTTGTAAGTGCACGCCAACGACATGATAAAAAGGGCGGTGTGGCGTCTGGCTTTTTGCGGATGATTTCGTTGGGATATCGGAAACACCCGCAGGACCACAAAAAACCTACTTAGAGCTAGCCAACGCCCTAGCGATACCAGGAAATGCCAAATCCGGTGTCAAGGAAGGGCAGCGCACAAGTAGGCAAGGTCGGTGGGATCCTCCCGGAAAGAGGTAACCAAGAATTACACGTAAAATACGAAAGAAACTCATAGAGAAACGAGCAGAGCACTAAAATTGTAGGAGGTGCCTGAGGGAGCGGCCAATGATCGCATGGACAAGGCAAGCAGCAACTGAATACGACCCCTCCCGCTCTCCGCAACGCTGCGCCTGCTCGCCAAAGACCGGAGCGCGAACGGGCGGATGCCTTACGGCGAGCTCAAAGATTGGTGAAGACGCACCCAGACACACGCGAAGGGCTGCGGTTGAGTGGGAGAGTCGAATTGTTTTATGATACGGAGGTGTACTGGTGCAATAAGACCAGCTTGTGCCAGTGAAGTCTTGCGTGCATGAAAGATTGTATGTTCACCTCTTTGGTACTTCGCTGGGCGCCTGTCGTTGAGGAGGGCATTTGATTCGTGATATGGTGGGCGGAATGGTGTCACCTGTGCTACGGTACATTCGCGATCATTCCTGGACCAGTGAAGCCAGCATACACCTTGTGTGCTGTGTGTTTATTAGATGGGCTAGTCTACCAGGCCCTGAGTTGGCTGATGACTGAGTAGTCAAGTACGTTGAGTAGTCACGCACGTTAGAGGTGTGTCGCCGTTTCCCTGGGAGAGAAAACAGCACGCGGTAGAAGATGGCATGTGTGGGTTGGACCCGCATAACTCCTATCAACCAGTTCGGTAGCGTTTGGCGAGGGGGAGGTGACGGCGGGCATAAAAAACTTATGAACCAGAGTAGAAGGGTAAATTAGTAACAGTCCCCGTAACTTCAATTTCCCCGTTCTACACTCGTTCTGTCTCATGTGTCAATACGGGGCGTTGTTTGCCTCTACTGAGGGGTGAATCTGGGATCACAAACCAAATTCCTCTGCTGTTAGTACGAGCGATCCCTCTAACGTAGGCTCATGAGGTCATAGTGCCATCAAGGGGTGATGCAAGATGGCAACGCAGGCAGGCAGCAGGACCAGCCCGCAGCCGGCTGTCAGAAGTCAGTTGGTTGTTACGTTTCCCAAGCTCAACAGCTCACACAGTTTTTTACTTGAAGAACCCAGCGAACCTCAACGAACCAAAATTTACAAATCTGTATACAGTCTTACGCCTTCAACATTGTTGCAAGAAGGTTCAACTTTCCAACGTGTACAATACAGTCAACTTTCTTGGCCTCAAAAAACAAGCGCTCTCAATACAGCAGTGTCACACGATATTTCCACTGACGGCCTTCACCATCCAAGGTTTCGAGGATGCTTTCAATCCTTGGGGGCGAGCCTGCATGCGTGCCATACCTACCCCTCGTCCTCGGTCCACCTGGAGGAATCGAGCCATAGCGAAAGGTTAACCTACACCCCATAAATGGGCGATCCTTGTCACGACATAGCGAAAAAAGAAAAAAGAAAATATGGTGTCAGCTCTACGCCACCGGAGCCAACAGCCACCCTGCACTCAAAAGGTATCGTGAAACAGAAATTACCACTTGAAGGGTCATAACAAGAACACAGGATCTATTCGGACAAGTACGTATGCATGCCCGTCAGAAGCTGGCATAGCGTGACGACGCCGTGCCTAGGGTTCGCTTCAGGTCCTGACGAGTCGTTCTCTAGGCAGAAGCTTTGAGCACCTCCACAACCTTCTGCGCCGTCAGTTCAGAAGACATGGGATTCTGCCCTGTCACAACGCGGCCATCGACGACCGCGTAGGGGGTCCAAGGGTCCGCCTTGCTAAAGTCCGCGCCAAGCTCAATCAGCTTGGCCTCCAGCAGGAAAGGAACCTTGTCGGTAAGTCCCACCTGCGGGGTGAGGCACGGAATAGCGCGTGTACCACGGTGTTTGAGGCACGTCGCGAATGAATACCGAAGAAGAGAACGATGGCGTGGATCCAACATGCCAACACGAAACACATCTTGTCCAACTGCTGAACAGCACACGACGATGCAATAACCACGAACACCAGCATACAAAGCACCGTAACAAGCATTAATCATAGATTCACGTGAAACCTACGGTACAAAACAGGGTGAAACAGCAAACGCCAACACCATCGCCGTGCTGTCAACTGAAACTCCGCCCGAGATCGGCACAACACATGCCGATCCCCAGAAACATCCCTGCATGCATGCATTCGAATTTCTTCCACACACCTGTGCCTCCTCCGTGTCCGTGAAGCCCGTCATTTTCTTCCCAGACACAAGGGCTGCCCCATCCGCGGTTTTGGCCCCAACGAACGCTGTCGGCCCGTGGCACACGGCCGATATCACCCCTCCCGCCCCGTACACCTTCTCCATCACCCCCTGCACTGATGGGTTGTTGGGGAAGTCCACGCACGTCCCGTGCCCGCCGGCGAAAAATACCGCCGCGTAGGCGGAAGAGTCCACGTCCGAAAGCTTCGTCGTGGCCGCCAGCTTGGCCTGAGCCGCCGCGTCCGCATCGAACCGACGCGTGTAGTCTGTCAGGTAGGCGTCCGCCTGTCCCGTAAAGGTATTGATGGGGAGGTGGTATCGATCGACAAAAAAAGGTGCGGGTGTGAAATGAGAACAGCTGGCGGCTCCAGAGTGTTTCGCTCGCTGTCTGGAGAAATTGGACGGAGAGCGGCCAGTATGGTGGTGTCGTGTACGTGTCTTGGACAAGAGTCACGATGACGGCGGCCTTGTTCCCGAACACAATAGAGCAGCAAGTTAGGTCTCGGCGGGGCAGCCGCACATCTCCACGAACGATGAGCTATCTCCGACAGTGTTGTCTCAGCTAATTTATCGTGGTCACCACCAGAACTTGTTTCATGGAGGACCAAACCGGAATCGACCTGTTGGCCGAACCCCTCCAGCACGACAACACTGCAGACATAAACTTGCGTCCCCATCACAATACATTCTCGTCTATCAAGCACCTTTCCTGGACGGCATGCCCGAACACCGACCGGGTCACTGTCAATTCATCGCGATTCCGACTGTCAAGAGATAAACCTGGAAACGCTGGGTCCATAGTTGTAATGGGTGCCAATGTGTACGAAAGTCCAGACCATGGAGTGGCCAAGGAAGAGTCTGCATTTCTTTCTTCGTGGCAAGCACCTTTGTTCGCTTAGCTCGCTTGTTGAATCATACCTTAGACCCCGCGTCGACGGGAGGGGCGCCGCCCTCGGGAGAAGCGATGTCAACTTCGTAGCCAGCGTCGGTGAAGATCGCGTGCGGGGCCGCGGCCTCCTCCAGCCAAAACCCTGCGACCGATGTGTACGCAGGCAGAAGCACCGTCTACCAGAATGAGCGTGTGTGTACAACGAAACTTCCCCCTACGCAACGAAATATGTAGACGCCATTGAGTTGTAGCCGCAGTACGAAGGTAGCCTGGGCGTCTCTTGCGTCTGTTTATCTACTCTAGCCTACTTGCCACCACCAACGCCAGCTGCAGCATACAGCGGCTACCGTCACTCTGTAGCTGCACAGCAAGGTCGGTTGTTGTTTGATGCGCCAAAGCTGTGGCTAAACCACACATCGAGTTCAATGACGTTCTCACACACCACCAAGTATATATCCGGAAAGGATGCCTTGGCGTTCCATAACAACCTCTAGCGTTCGTTCCATCATAATCTTGGGAAAGGTCATTTTCGTAACTGCCCCAGAAACTTCGGGGGTTCAAGAGACGGTGCTTTCTGGGTGAGAAAAATCGCGGCACGCCGTCGATTTGGTGACAACACACGCTCAAAAGAATAGAATGGCCAACTGCTGCATACGCTCGCCTGCTTCTAGCTTGTGGTACTAGCGATGTCAGCTCCCCAGGGAAACGCGCAATTGCAGCAGCGTCACGGGCTGACCCCCCCCGGGGGCAGAAAGGCTCCGATCGGAAGCGAGGGGTTTGGTGACGGACGAAATTGCGTTTGTCGCGCTCGATACAGAAAGAAGCGCAACGTGGACCGCACCTTTCACATGCGGGATCTGCACAACCGATATGGATCGCTTGCGTATTGTCTACCGCTCAATTCGACGCCACCGGTAGGGAGACTCAGTGAGTGCGCCGCATCTGTTGCGAGCTGGAATCTCTCGGCGACAAAATGTTCACTCTTGGTAAAAAACCGTGTACGCACGAAAAATTCAAAGCATTCTGATCTAGGCCACGCGGTGCATACTGGAGTCAAGTGACTATAGAATATGGGACCGTGCGGATCGTCTGGCTGGTCTTTAGATGGACTAATCGTTATGGATATCACCTACAATCTCCCAACGTCTGTGCGAGGACGATTCCCTGTATGCACACTAGTGTACTTGGCCTGGCATGCATATACATAATGCCGGTGCGATCCAGCCGATTTCACGGGCATTAGTCTTAGCGGGCAACCGGCATTATGGCAATATTCAGAATTCAGAGGATGAAACAAGTTGAATATTCCAGCTAGCTGTGCCAGATTTCACCGGTATTATACCGGGACCACGACACTCCTGTATTACTGTCTGTATTGCTCTTGGTCGTAATGTATACGTACTCAAACAGTCTAGACCAGTCAGCGCGACACCTGCTGGATGGATCTATCTCCCGCTTGCTGCTACACGAACGAGACGAATCAATTGAAGTTGGGGGTTGTAGGAGACACAAAAACGCGTCTTGGTGTAACGCCACCGCAACCCCAGAAGATGGCTCCCAACGATGGCCAGATCTTACACAAAGTCTCAACGTTGAATCTTCGACGCTTGTTTGTTGCTGGCATGCATGCATGGCTGCTGCTGCTATGTTAGCTCATGATGAAATCTACTGCACGAGTACCACGCCTCGTCTTTGTGCTGCTGCTGCTGCTACTACTGCTGCACAACCCGAACACGATGCGGTTCGATGCACGTACTGTAAGCGGTTCGTGCAGAAAGAATTCTCTAAGAACACCGGCTGCGCTCTCAAACCGCTATGGATATATCAATTCTGGCTTTTTGGGTACAGTAGAGGTCCCTGTTTAAGGCCGCAAATTTAAGGCCGGTGGCCCTTTTTAAGGCCGGTGAAATCGTCTGTCACACTTTCCTTCCTTTTTAAGGCCGCATAGGCCTTAAACAGGGTTAGTCCCTATTTAAGGCCTATTAGGGCATCCGCGCACCCTATATAAGGCCGGTTTTGGTGTGACGCACCCAGTTCTTCGCCAGCATTATTCAAGCCGCAACACAACCACTCCAGAGATCTACACAACAGCAATACCTAGCGCATACCCCTACCGACCCAACCAGTAGGGGCACACATGCCTTGTGCGGCTGGTGAACTGTGCCAACTGCCAGACCGTACGCCAGAAGCCCCTGACGGCCACCAATGTCACGGAGGGTGTGGCGGCAGACTGCACGGACTGTGTGGGGAACAAGACCAAGATGCGGAGTTCGAAACCGCCCGCATCTGCTAATGCGTGCATTGCCTCCAAGCAAAAGCAAAAGGCTAGTGATGCCTCCACAGCTGGCAAAGGGCTCCACAGCTGGCAAGGGCAAGCGCAAAGGGTCAGCCACGGAGAGCGGAGACACGGCAAGACCAAAAAAAACGAAACCAGCCAACCACCCGGACATGACTGGTTCGCGGACGCGGATGGACATCGGCACCAAGATGGAGATCCTACGTCTGCTGGACAAGGGCACGCGGACGCAGAAGTCGATCGCAGAGCAGTTCAACTGCGGGGAGCGCACGGTGCGTAACGTCAAGGCCGAGCGGGCGAAGATAGAGAATCAGGCCGCCAAAACTCGCAGCAGCGCCACCTCAAGGAAGAACCTTCGGGCGGGGGATTTTCCCGAGGTATGCTAGAGTATGTATTGATTTTTTTTGTGCAGCCTGAATTGTACCACTCGGTGTTGATTTTTTTTTTTTGTCAGCCTGCCGTTTGTACCACACTCGGTTGATATCGCACTTTCAAGAAAAATCGCAGTGCTTCATGTGTGCAAATAGCGACCCCCCCCAAAGCAGTCTGGATTATGCACTGAGATTATGCTTTGCGCGGTCAACTGCATTGGAAGCACCACGAACATTTTTCATCTGATGCACCACCCACACACGACAAAAAAAGGCACAAACATATTTAAATTTATACACATTTTTTTCCACTGCTCATTTTATCTGCATGTGCATTTTGGCTAGGGTGGCGTGAACTTTCGTGCTGGTGCGTAACTTTGTGATATTATTCATCCGTGAAAGCAGTACCGTTCTAACCCGCGCACACCGATTTGAACCCTGTGGTGCTTGCTGCTGACTTTGTACAGTTGGATTCTTTAGTTTTGGACCTCGTCAACAAGGCGCGGATGGCGAAGTACACCGTCACCGGCAACGTTATCCGATCGTTCGGCCGCTCTGCCAAGGCCACCCTGTTGGGCTCGGAAAAAACGACTGACTCCGTGAGGAAGAGGCTCGAGGACTTCAAGGCTGGCGACAAGTGGAGCAAGAACTTCGTGAAGCGCAACGACCTCCACAGCCACAAACTTCATGGAACGGCCGGCAGCGTCGACCACGACCGCATCAAAGAGGGCATGGAGGAGGTCCGCGCTGCTTGCGAGAAGTACCCGGCGAGGAACATTTTCAACGTCGACGAGACCGGCATCCAGTGGAAGCTCATAGCCAGGAGGACGTATCTTGCCGCGTTCGAGGCACTTTCGTCGCACTTCGGGGCTCTGGAGGCGGCAGCGGAGGGGAGCGGCAACCATGACGCCGCTTTCCACATTCAGAAGGCCAAAATGGCAATGATCGCAGCGCATGGTTCGAAGGCAACGAGGCAGACAGACATGAGGCAATTTTTGTAGACTCGATAGGCGCAAGGGGGGAGGCATCAGTTGAGTGTGGTTCTCACGCGTCCGGTGTCAATGTCCAGTTTCATCCTTGTATTTTCAACTTTCGTGTGCCGTTGTTAGTGTATCTGGGGGTGGAGAGGTCGGGCTGTTCGATTTTTGTGTCGACTTTGTGTTCGACGGGTAAGCACCAGTTGGTCAGTCGGTGCAACATGTGCATTTTTCCATGGTTGTTGTGTTGTGCAGATCGTCGGACTTTTTTTTGCTGTGGGCGTCCTCTCATTCTGATCAGGATTGGCAGTATTATTGTCGACCTTCACGAGGGTGTCACTCGATGAGATATGTATGTACTTCGCACGTACCAAGTGAAATACTTCTAATATACTTCTACATATTTTCTGTTGACGTCAGCTGCGGCAGCAAGTAATACATATTTGGAAATATGCAACATCATTTTTTGTCACGACTTGTGCGGCAATATTTATCTTTCATGTATAGCGTGCTTCCTGCGAGCCTTCAGACAAGTTGGGGCCCGCCACCGTCCCGAAAGGCTTGAGTGCAGCATCAATATTCCTCAATAAGGCCGGTATCGGCCTTATTGAGGAAAACTCAATCCTCTATAAGGCCGGTACCGGCCTTAAACAAGACCCGTTCCCAATAAGGCCGGGTGCCCTATTTAAGGCCGGTTATTTCGTCTGTCACAGGGCGGCCTTAAACAGGGATCTACTGTACCGGGTGAAATAAGAAAACGACCCGCTTGGCCCGCCTTCTGTCCGTGCACATCAAATCCAAAGCAGCTGTTTGCACCCTTGGTACATTTGCATACAAATCTGCTCTCATATGCACACCTGTTTCCTTCTCGCCCATCATCTTGGAAGAGGTCAAGACCAGCAAAATCTTCGGCATGGTTTTCGCGGTGGTATAGAGGTATGGGGGGTGGTGCTGTAGTGGTTGAGCGAGAGCTTGGCGCGGGAGTGGCAGGAGAGGTGCAAGTGATTGTGGTGCGTGGTGGTGGGTGGGGGGTGGGGAGGGTGCGGCGGATCATCATGGGCGAGAGGGCACACGGAGCGGATATGCTATCTAGCCCGCCCACCCTCCTGGGGGAAAAAAATCCTAGGGGGGGGGTAGGGGGATTGGAGCGCGGTGTTTCTGGTGTACACGAGACTCGGCGGCCATTGTATTCGCTGCTTTTGCTGTTCCAACCCAGCGGGCTGAAACTATACATTCCGCTCTCGCACCCACTTCACGACAGCAGCGCGTTCCACCACACCCGCACCCCAGTAGGCATGGTATTTGGCCGGAAAAGGGGCTTTTTGGTGAGTGTGGTGCCCACCCTCCGCTTATCAGACGCTCGCTGCACGAACGAATATGCACACAAAGTAGGCGTATCGGCACATATATCCTGCAAGGAAACAGCAATAGACCAGATCCGAGGATCCGAGGATGCAGGAAGTGGTATGCATACCGTAGGTTGCATAAGATATCACACCCACACCCCCTGGCTGCTGGGCCGGCTTTCAAATCTCGATTTCTCCGCAGGGAAAACAGTGACGGAGCCGAGAATGGCGGCGTTGGAACCGTCTCGTCGAAAGCTGTCCGAAAACGGATCATTTGAACTCGGCATGCTCTTCGTCATCAAGTAAATCGAGCTTCGAAAATCGGTCCAGGGGGTGTGGTATCTTATGCAACCTGCGGCGGTATATGTGTACGTTGGAGTTGTGGCGATATTCTTCGACCATGCAGTGGGAAATATTTATTATTCCTTAAATATATGGCGAGATGACAGGTACACTATATGTACAAATAGTATCTTCCCGGCCACCCACCGCACATGGGATATTCTTTGTTCTCTTTCCAACTGCGACATCGATGAGTTACGGAATAATAGAGTTGTTGTTGTTGTTGTTGTTGTTGTCTTCACATTAAAAACCGTTCCGATCTCTCTCTACCCAGTACCTTCGTATGTATGCAGGTATGTATTAACAGTGTACATATAACATATAACATACGCTTGTAGTTCATCATGGTGCTGCGGGCCTCTTCGTGGATTGATTCCGAGGCCAACCTTGCCTCGTTGTCATCCATGGGATATACATGTGGGATATGGATATGTGGACCTTCACTCGCCGTCTCTCGCCCTACTGCACCGTAATCCCGAGCAGTCCTCCTGGACGTCGCGCTCGGTTGAAACGGACCCCGATCTCGAATTCACCGCAAGAGTACACAAGTGAGTGGAGTGGTGGCGCCAGCGATCATGTAGGCTTGTAGTCCATTGTCATAGACTTTACCTGGTAGCGTCGCTGCACGCTTTGCGGATCACCACCACCACTGGTACATATAGCGCCCGCACTTATCTGTAATAATCAACAGCATAGCTTAGCAGTTTAGACTAATCGTACAAGTAACGGTCGTAATGCTGCAGAGTAGTCTACAGTAGTGCCCACTCAACTACAAATCTCCGCAGTCAATCCGCACCTTCGATGCGGTCCAATATTGGGCATGGTTGTACAACATTCAACCTCGCCTATTGCAAGGTAAGTTATACGTAGGCTAAGGCTTGAGAAACGCTACATATGTAATGTATTACAGTAGACCAGCGCACCTCTACTTCCTAGTTTGTTGTTCGCTTTTTGTAGCGTCGCTGTACAAATAAATGTGTTCGTGTGTTTGGCCGGGAGGTCGCCGTCATTGTTCCCTCACAAGCAGAAGACTAACTTTTGGACCTGTGAACCTAGTCTACACAATGGAGACCGGAACGGTTTTTAATGTGAAGACAGCAGCAACAACAACAACAACAACAAACAGCACCCGCGTTTTCCGCTCAGCGAAAGCCATGACGAATTTTCCCATCGCTGCTTTTTTTCTGCCGGGGGGGGGGGGCGTACTCTTTTGTTTCGCATGCCTTAGCGGTTAGACCATTGACCACGCGTCCTCGAGAGGACGGAGCATTGTTCCCACAGGACCGATCACCGAATGGCCAATCGTTCCTTCCTACTTTGTCAAAGGTGGCTCAAAAATGTCTTCCCTAGTCTGTCTATCCTAGACGATATCCCTTCCCGCCTTTTCAAACCACTTCCTACTCCCCAGTACAGCTACCGTCCTCTCCTCTCTATTCCATGCCTCAAACATCTCCCTGTACGTCCCTTGTATTTTTCCCAGCTCAGTCAGGTACACTTCCCTCTCCTCTTCGTACCACGGACATTCCGCGACTACATGAACACGGTCTTCGCATTCGAAGCCGCAATCACATTTGAACTTGTCGTCTTCGTTGTCTACCGTCCTATGTATTCGTCGACGTTCTCGAAGACCTATGTCCCCGGTCCTGAATTCGACTTAAGCTTTGTCCCTGCATCCATTGGTCCATGTAGGTAGTCCTTGAACCCTATTCCTTCTTTCAACATCCCGTACACTTCTAGACCCTCCTTATCCTCGGTTTCTTTCCTTACATTCTGTTCTTCTCTCTCGGCACAAGCAACAGATATCTTCTCCTTGAACCCCTGTAGACCCTCCGTTTCCAGCATTTCATCTTCGTCGATGTCTAACCCCTTCCATACGTCCTCTACAACCTTGACCCATTCCGTGGGTTGTCTACCCCTCTTTTTGTTTGCCCACTTCGCCTCCCATACTATTCTCGGGGGGGGGGGGGGGGGGCGAACGAATGAAAACCGTGCATCCCACATCAGGAGTGGAGGTCTTGCACAAAACGCTAGCCGAGCTTCAGTTCAACATGCAGGTCTACCTAACCAGCTGGCAGGCAATGTGCCGGGCATCGGCGGCCATAGCGAAAGGATTGGCAAAGCTGGCGAAGGGCAGTGACGGCGCAGTCGGCGCCCGCGGCGACAACGACGGAGTCAAAGACAAGCAAGGGGTGTCGCCGCTAGTGGACATGGTGAATGAGGGCCTAGAGATCGTCACGTGGGCTCTGCATAGCTCGCTATGTTTTTGGAGGGGGCGTCGGGCAGACGCAAGGGGGAGGAAGTACAAAGTGACAGGAGAGATGAGACATAGTCCGGAGAAATTTCTTTCCGCCTTCCGAAGCTCCTCGAAAGGGTACGAGGAGAAGAAGCGAGCGATATCCACGTCAAACCGATACTACATTTCGATACGAAACATTTTGCGCTGCACATTTATTTGCGTCGTGCCGCTGGCATATCAAGACCATTTTGGCCAATTTTGTTTGCGCTGTGTCCTCGTCCCTACCGTCTCTCCAGCGTTGAACTAGCCAGAGCAAAATGTATTGGCTGTGAGGCGACTCGCCTGGAGGTTGTGGAGGTGTCTGTTAATAAGGAGGGGCGGGAGGTGAACGAAGGATGCAAACCATGAACGAGTTGTCGACGTACAACCAGACAAAATATTCCCACTTCACTACATGTATGTACCTCCTTGTTCACAGCGGAATGAGCGCCGATAACTACCTACAGAATGACACGTGGATTTTTGGCGAGCAAAAAGGGGATCATGTGGAAGTCGGCGTATTTTATCTTCCTAGATGTAGAGATACAACAGGAGACCTATTTAGTGGACAAAGTCCCTTCGATCCGAAGATTTGTACCAAGAACGATCCTCGGAATGCTGCTAGCATGGGATGGATCTTGGATACGGGCAGTATGTCGAGGAAGGCACTCTCTCATTTTTCGCTTTCTAAGCACCCCGGTCACGATTGGTATTCCTCGCCACAATAAAGACAAGAAAATGACCGTTTTCTGGTGGACGGTAAAGCCCCCTTCACGGCGCTCTGACTCCTTAGAGTAAGGACATTCCACAGCCACGTGTGTAGAGAGCGCTCATACAACGTTGGAGTTATTTCGATTTGGGGTATGTATAGGAAAGGCTTGCCATATCGGAAGAGATGCGTGGTCAATTGTTTACGGCCTGAAGTAAGCAACGCCTCGAGTGTTCCCCCCTCTTGCCGCCTGCTTTGTTTGGAACGCTGCAGGCACGACTGTACGATTCAGCGCACCGTGCCATCGACCGCGGTGTCAGGGAACCGACCCAGAGGCAAGTTCCTTTCAGACACCGCGCTGGCCAGGCGGAGCGTGTTGCAGTGAACAACGGTGCAGCGGCGACAACGTTTTGGGTTTTTGCGAATGAAGGAACACCTCGGGTGCAGAAAACACGACGCCTGTTCGGTCTGCTCCCGTCCGTTCGTCACACCTGTAATAGATTGAATTGCATCCCGTATTTGATAGGGTGCTGTCACCTCCGATGGCGTACTGGTGCGGTGTTTGGCATTCGCAAGGCTCGGGAGGGTTCTGCAAGTTTTCTTGCCCCTGTGATGTCCTACGTGCTTTGTTAGCATCCGGCATCCCCACCACCCCGACATCGTCGCCCTCTCCCTCACGCGCGCTCTTCCACTCCGTGCTCGCTAGGGTCGTGGAAGACACAACGCTGCGCGAAACGGGAGCACTCTTGAGCAGGTTCCCTCCCATCTTCGCAAAGGTTACCCGCCGAAAACAAGTACTGGTGAGAATTTTGAGTGGACACCCCGGCTGTCCGCGCTATTCGGTTGCCCGCCATAGATTTGTGGTCATTTTCTAGCGATTTCGGGAAGTTTCATGGTTCGCGTTCGCGCATGGACGCGTGTTTGTTTGGCCGTCAGCTTCTGTTGTGGATACGCACTACTGTTCTGGTGGGGGTCCTCCCCCCACTTCCCTCTCCTCTCTTCCTATCGCCAACGCAATTGCCGTCCAAAGCGTGGAAGAATAGGGGCCGCTCTGGGCGGGCAACTCCCTGGCGCTGTTGTCTCTCCGCTCCACTGACCATGCACTGCAAGTCCGTGCACCTGTAGGTGCTTTCCGCTGCACGCCCGTGCTGTACATACGAACGTAACAATTTGTTTCGCGCTGGCTTTGTGGCGGCACCCCATCCTGCCTGTATCACCCCCCACTGCCTGCCGCGGCGCGACGATCAGGCGGATGTCGAGGCCGCCAAGTCGAGGGTGCGCGCGGCCGAGGCGGCGAGGGAGAAGGAGAGAGACAGCTTCGCCGTTGTCGCCGGCAAGGAGCACAGGCGGCGGATGTCGGACGCCCTGGCTACGGCCGTCGCCGTGGCGGAGGGGGTCACGGCGGAGGTGGTGGCGGACGCCGAACGGCTTGAGCGAGAGCGGGAGGCGATGCTGGTGCCGCAGGTTTCGGCCCTCGTGGGCGGTCAGGTGAGAGAGATTAGAGGAGCGCGATACGCCTGCGTAGTGCCTTTTGGGGCTGGGGTGCATTCCGTGCGAGCGGGCGTTCTGCGTGATTCGTTCGGCGGTTTCGCGCGAGCACTGCTGTTTGTGGATCTGCCGGGTGTGTGTGTGCCCCCGAGTGTACGGGTGTGGACGAGGCCTTGCCGTGCGTGCGAGGGAAGGAAGCGGTAGGGTGGCGCAGAAGCCCTTGCTGTTGTTGTGTTGTGTTGTTGTCCACAACAAGAAAAAACAGCATCGCGCGTTTAATGTTCTTGACTTGAACTTTGAAGGAACACAATTGAGTATGGTGCGACTTTTTTCGAGGTTGTGGCAAGGACAGACCCACCGTTGTACTAGTTCACCCTTCAGAAGCGCCTTTCCTGGTTACACTTCAACCTGACCGTCTCGACTCTTGAGAATCCTCGTTTTGCTGTTGTAGACTCCACCTTTGGGATTGGGGTGGTCTTCAAGCAGTTTTGGGGTATTTTTGGTGCCAGGAAAACCCGCTCTTTCATTCCCCTCCAGTCCCCCCCCCCCCCCCGCCCCCACACCCAACCCCGCCTCCTCACACTGCACGCCCCTCGTTGTCGCGCATGTGGTTTTGCTGCTTTCTCCAGGCGTTCTTCATGCGACGATCGGCGGTAGTCCTCGAGAAGCTAGCATCACAGCTCCCTCACTCCGCCCTGGCTCTCTGCCAGCTCTTGGGGCCTCGCCCCATGGAGAACCGCTCCGCCCCTCCGCCCCTACCCAGGAGGAGGAGCAGCATTCAGCAGACGCTCTCGCCCTCCGTCGCCCCTGTCGACGTTTCCGGGCACTCGGCCGGCTCGTCTTCAACGGTTGTCCGGGGTTTCGACGGCGGCGGCAGCGGGGGCGGGGGCTCCAGCTCCTCGACGATGGGCCTCGTTTCACCGCACCAGCAGGCCGCGACAACAACCACGCCGGCTCTTTCCCCCCCCGGCCTGCAGCCTCACGGCGCAAAGTTCGAGCCAGTCGGACTTTCGCCCACCGGGTCCTCGGCCTCGTCTCCGCCGCCCCCTCCGGCTGCGGTTGGCACTCCGGACCGTTCCCAATCCTGTTCCCGACCTAGCGCTATGGCTCGCGGTGATCCCACGAGTACGAGCAAGAGTGCTGAAGCGATGAACCCCGCAGCAGCTGCTGCTGCTGCTGCCGCCGCTGCGCCGGCCGCCCCCCTGTTGCCGCCACGGCCGGAGATAAGCGGTGGGAGGGCTGGGGGTGACGGGAAAAGATGACGGGAAAAGATGACGGGAAAAAATGACGGCGGTGGTGCTGACGGTGAAGGCGTCCTTGGGTGATTCAGTTCCCCGGCTGGGAACAGGGGCAGATAGATGTGTCCGGGCGGTGAAGCGGGGGGGCTCGTCGTTGCTCTTGCACGGCGATGTTTCCGTTTTGTTGCAGCAGGAGTAAAGTTATTGTGATGTAGCGATACATAGTTTGTTTTTTTCTAGACTAGCCGCTCTAACGCAAGTCCTTTTTTTTTTCTAGATCAGCCGCTCTAAAATTTATGCGTGGTTTGCTTTGATTCGCGTTTTTTTTTTTTTTGTTGTTCATTTTTTCTGGCAGTCCGTGCCTTGTGCTTGCGCTGGTGCTGTACGCGCGGTCGCGTTCCTCAACCGGCGTTCGTGCGGTGTGGTGTTTCATTTTTACCTCGGGAGCTAGCGACGAATGGCTATTGGGCTTACTTGCCCACGGCGGCTCTCGCCCTCCTCTTTGGCTCACTCGCCTCGGGGGGGAGTGCGGCTAGCTCCAAAGCAGCTACGCGCAATGGGCGCTAGAGTCATCGAACACGCCCACAGTGCCACACAAGCTTCGGAAGTACACTCCGTAGAATGGGGTGGTGGTGGTTTGTGTAAGCTTCGCCTGGCCAAATGTAAACGCGAGTGTCATGTGCGGATAGCGCATCGCGGGGGGAATATTTGTCGCCTCGATGTTTTGACGTTACTCGGCTGCCTCGTCTTGTTGTGGGAGGAGGGGGTTAGCACGAACGAAGACGGTGACTGACATGATCGTGTAGTCCTCCTGATGCCTCTCCCGCGTCAACGTGTGCGGGGACGTGGGGAGGCCGAAGGGAAATGGTAAAGGAAGTGTTGGCACTTGCTTGACCGCGGGTCTGCGACAGCGGAGGACTTATCTGTTCCGCCGCCGCGGGGGCGTGCCCTGGGAGCATGCTCTCGAATAACACGCCAGACCGAGAGAGAAATCGCCAAGATCGGGAGTCTTCAGTCAAACATTCCGTTTCGCGGGCTAAAGACATGTGCTGGTGGGATGTTGAGAGATATGTGATGTACCTCTCTCTTGCCTTGGTGCGGTGCATACTGCTCGTCGATCAAGCAAGAGGCCATATTTGGTTGCACCGCAGAGAGAAAATAATATTGTCTTGTTGATGCAAAGCTGAAACCAAATACAGCCATCTGTACATCCCAAGGTACCAGGTTGGGAGAGGTTCAAGGGCGGAGAGATGATGCCGGCAGCATCAACAAGAGGGTCCTGTTCATTGGGGTCCCAGGCTGAGATTCGGTTGAACTTCAGCACGTACTCAGAGCACGTGTACTGAAATCTCGAAAAATAGACCCAAATAGAACTCGTGCTGCCCGTCATCGTACTCGAAGGTGAGTTCATCGTCATCTTTTCTCAACTTCACAGCTGTAAATAAACATTGCTAACCCCCCAAAGGCTAACCCAAGGTGCCATGTAACAAAGTGCAATAGCACAAAACCGCGTAGCACACAACACCGGACGCCTGGCGTCGCTCAGACCACAAGACTCGACGGCTACAAGACAAAGGGACAATACACAGAAATGGTGAGGGCGCCGCTCACAACCATAAGGCGGCTCCAGTTTACACAGCCTCAAAAATACTAAAAACAAGGTCCTTACACGGCAGACGAAATCGTCGGCACCAAGGCCACACGGTGATCGGCTACGTTCATGCACCGGCAGCGAACTGCTCAACAACTTTCCTGCAGGCGTAAACAAAAGAACGTCAAACCAAGCAACGCAAGGGACAAGGCTCAACACAAAGAGCATACAAGTGAGACAATAAAATGATGGTCCTGACCGGTTTCCGCATCGCTCTACCTCTCGGGCCTCAAAGCCACAACGCCCGCAAACCTCCGCACTCGCCTAACACCAAGGCATGGATGGCAAGTGGGCTCCGTTACCGCAGCCCCCCCATCCCCATGCCGCTCGCCCCTGCTCCTAATCCGCCGGGCATCACTACCGTCGCGCCGTTTCCTTGAGCAGCCCCATCGCCCCCCCCACGCAGCCCAGTTAGCCCCGAACCGTTCGTGGTCGCGCCCATGCCCTGCGGGTGTTGCTGGTGTCCACCGGCTTGGCCTACGCCAAACATAGCCCCCCCAGAAGCGCCCGCGTTCAACCCCCCCTGGGTTTTTTGCTGCTGCTGCTGCATTTGCCATTGCTGTCGCTGGAGCAGCAGCTGCTGCTGTTGCTGCAGCTGCTGGAGCTTCTGTTGCTGGGCCCACGCCATCGCCTGGGCCTGCGCCTGCTGGGGCTGGTGCTGTTGCTGCTGCGCCCAACCACCGGCACCCTGGGGATGCGACGAAAGCGTGCAGTCAGGCAGACGCATGAGGCTACATGTATGTGAGGGTTCTCAACGCGTGACACGGAAAGAGCACATCGGTGGTTCCGCGGAGCGACGCATTGCACAAACGCGAAACTATTTGGGACGGCAAAAAGGTGCAAACAAAGGCTCTCGCGCGACAGGAACAGGCCACATGCAAAGACGCACCGGCATGCCCATCTGCTGGGAGCCCATCGGCGCGAGGCCCCCGACGTTCAGCGTCGACATCATCTGCGACACTTGGTTCAGCTCTGGGGTTTTCATCACCCCTGCTACAGGGGATGAACCGACAGGCCCCGCCATACTGCGGCCCGCAACGCCGCCGCCCGCGGGGCTGTTAAACATGGACAAAATCGACGCCGCGGATGCCTGCAAGAACGAAAATCGAAGAGAGCGTCGACGGCAGGCGAGGTCGGGGGGAGGAGGACATGGATGAAACCAGAAATAACACAACCATCGGGCAGAGGACGACGAGCAAACCATCCGCAGAAGCGGCAGCAGTGGCCAGCAGCAAAACACCCAAACCTCTTCGCGATCGAACGATTTTTGCTGCCGTTTACAAAGCGGAGCGAAAACATACATACCTTCCCAGGGGCACCTGCCGCCGGTTGCTCCTGCTGCCCTTGCTGTCCAGACTGCGACGCCGGTTGCTGCACTGCGGCCGGCTGCTGCTGGGATCCCACCGACGCCGCTGCCGACGGCACCGTCGCCCCCGACGACGAAGAAGGCGCAGACTGAAAATCCGAGAACTCGAACATCTGGTCCGCCGGCGGCGGTGGCGGCGCCGACGAAGCCCTCGACGGCGGCGGCGACGCTTTTGGCGGCGCCTGCGGCGGGGCCGGCTCGGAGAAGTCGAGGAGATCGACCGCAGGGGCGGGGACAGCGGCCGGTGCGGCGGCGGCGGCGGCGGCGGCGGTGGAAGCGGCCTTCACTGCCCCGGTGCCGGCCTTCTGGAGGCGGGGCACGGCCCTGGTGGTGGTAGATGATGTAGCCTTGGAAGCGGCCGGAGACGGCGCCGTGGAGGTCGAGGACGATGTTCGCCCCGCCCCCCGGCTACTGCTACTGCTGCCGGTCTTTCCCGTGGGGGACTTGGAGGAGGCTGCGCCGCTGTCCTTCCTGATTACATTGGGTATTTTGTTCGGCAATGCAACGTAAGGCGTGGTGAGACCAAGGTGTCGGTTGTACAAGCGTCGAGGAGGAGGAGGAGCTCGTGGGTTGCGGGGGCGGGTCGATGCTCGGCGCTCGTTCTGGCGCGCTGTTTCAGGCGGTCAAGACAGCTGGGCCTTGGCGAGGAAATCGCATCTGGTTCGTGACAATCGAGAGGGATGACCGAAAACCCTACCAGCAGCAGGATCTGCTTGCTTTTTCTCTATCCACGACTTCGTCCCTGCCTCTCCGTCTTGCTCTCGCACCTCGAAGATCGTGAGCCGGTAGACTCCTCCGGCTTCCGCTGCCTAGCAGGCTGAGGATTCCTCGACACGAAACGCCTGTGCTCGTACTTGTCACGGATCCATTTCTCGCGCTCGCGGACAGTGGCGTGTTCTCGCGGCACGGTGTAGCTGGCCGGCACTTCGGCCTCGAAGTGAGCCTTGGCGCGCTCGTTTCCCATTTCTTCCATGCCCTGGAAAAAAACCACAAAAAAAAACGTGGGTAGACGAACACACACGCGTTAAATGTACAGCAGCCGTGTTGTAGTTCAGGTACAACATCATGGTGAGAAACGTGAGATTTTTCAAACCGCTTGGTGGCAAGCCTTGTACCGGCTCGGTACGTGATTCTCTTGAAGTCCTTGTCAACGCAACATGTTCATGAAAAGGAGCCCGCCGGAAGGGCAGCACTGCTGAAATTACTAGGCTTCAAGACACCAGTATTACAGCAAGCAGTCACTTGTGTTTCGGACGAAACCCAAGAGAGCAAACGCCGCCCGCTCGTACCTTAACTTGAGCCGGCTTCCAAGTGTCCAGGTTGACGCTCCGAACAAACGAGATATGAACCCCCAAGTTGCGGTGGATTCCAGAGCAATCCAAGCATATGAACAGCCCGAGATTAACGGAGGCCCAGCGGGGCTCTGGTGTCAACCAGCCCGACGTTGGGGAAGAAGAGCAAAAGACGTTCTCAGGCAATAATTCTCAAATTGATTACATTGATGCATACAACAGCGTGTTCTCAGCGAGCGAGTAGCATGCCGACAGCAGTGAGAGGGATGCGTGCCGTAGTCTAGATGATGTCCCGGCTTATACTTTGGTGTTAAGAGCCTCAATTGAACCGTGCACCTCATCGGGGGGATGCGCTGCCTGACGACACCATTTGCGGCTGAATGCCTGTCAAACTAACCAGACAGCAGTGCAGAGCAGCTGCGGGAGAGAAAGAGGGGGAGAGAGAGCAACGACATGGCTTTCAGAGCCGAGGGGGACAATCGTGTACTCCGTGCTGTTGCTGGCTCTGTGCCGCACCCATGCCAGACAGACCAGACCGATCACTACGAACTGCTGTTGGTTAGGCCGCACGTGTGTACATACCTCTCTTGCCGCAGTCGGCGCAGAAGCGGTTCTCTCCAGTCTTGACCAAGGCCTCCAATCGCTTCCTGAGCGCCTGTTCCGACATGACAGCGATACCTCTCTCGTTCTCTTCTCTGTCTCCGTTTGAGACTAGCAACACGTTCAAGAAGTAGGCAGAGGAACAGCCAAGGGTGCTTTATGCATTCTGACGATGATGTGGGGCAGGAGCCGAGAAGAAGCCACAGCAGCAGTAGCAGCAGCAGCGTCGAAAATGTTCAAGAAAATATTCAAAAGAAAAGAAGACAGGAGCGAGCACTTGTAAAGTCTTGCCTACTTGCACGCTACTGCACCTCCGACTTCGACCGCCTACACTTTGGGAATCGCGCACACACGCTCGCGCACCTGCTGATTTGTCACACCCCAGTGCTGTCCGCTAATTCAACACCTCGAGGTGCGGGTCACGGGTCACGGACGGTCAGTTAGTGGGGTGGTTTGTGGGGGGGTGGGGGCACGAGGGCGGAGAAACAGCCAAGGGAAGGTTTCTATGATGCTGAGGCGTTCGGAGAGACGCGACCAGGAGCCAGGAGCTAGAACTAGAGAGTCGGAGTGACCACATAGGCAGCGAAGCCAAGACACAACCAACACACACAGCAGCGCGTTAGAGAAGGAGAGAGAGGGGACGTGTGTGTGGATAGAGCACGGGGGTGGAGGGCCTAGGTCCTGCTCCTCGAGGGTGTCGCTGTTTTTAAGAGAGCGGCGGAGTAGCAGCCATTTTTTTCACCGTTTCCCCGTCCCCCCCCCCCCCCGCTTGGGCGGACCAAGGCAGATTTTGGTGGGAGACACAGCAGGCGCCGAGTCGCTGCGGCGTGAACAGCAGGGAGGATGGAGGAGGACGATCAGGGCGAGACGTGGGCTTGTGAGGTGCGATGGGATGATGACGTCCGGTGGTGTATGTAGCAGGCCCGTGGGATCTCGAATCCTCCTCTCGTCCGGTCTATTTTTGGCACCTGTCTTTTTCTCAAACCCAGCGTCCTCTTCAAATACACACGATCAAGGTCGGTCAGCAGTGCGGAGAGTCCACGGCAGAGTGCATGTTGGCGGCGTCTGGATGCGAACCTGCTCAGCGTCTGTGTTTCATCTGTCGCTCACCCTGTTCCCTTTCGCCAGCTTTGGTGCGACTGCCTCCTCCGGCAAAGCTTGTCGCTGTTCGGTCTCTCTCTCTCTCTGTGTGTCTAATACCTCGCGCGCATTTCAACTGCAAATCCAAGATGACATGACTACAGATCTCTCTCGCCATCACCTGATGTTTCTCCTCGCTACCTCGATGTGACGCGATATGTATGGTGGGTCTTTTTTATCACGCACCCTCTCGAACCTGTGTGACTCTTTCTCTCTCGCTCTCAGGCGTGCACGTTTCATAACAGGGTTGGGGCCTCGTCTTGCGAGATGTGCGGGACGCCAAACCCGAGTATGGCGGCCGGTGGGGCTGGGTCTACGGCAGACGGGGCTGACGACGGCAGCTCGTCGGCGGCGTACTGGTCATGCCAGGTACCAGTATTGTAGTTACGTCGCTGAATGGTTTTTGGTCGGTGTATGGTATCACGCGTGACGTTGTACGAGAAGCAGGCAGGAGCAGCAGCAGCCGCAGCAGTAGCTGGAGAGCAAGCTTGCCCCGTCAAAATGTGTGCCGGACTCAAAGGTTGGCCGTAATACCGAGACATTGACGGCAATCGGCCTCCTCTGACGCTATCAAAGAGTGTCCCGTTGGTTGGTTGATACCTGGTGGTCTTCCTTGTGCTGTGCTCTACTGGCAGACTTGCACCTTCGGTGAGGGTTAGGACGTTGGGACACACCTTGTAGAGTCGGACCTGTGTGTTTTACGGGCGGAAGAACGCCAGCCATGTCAATTGGGTGTACGTGTACACGTACAACGTATACATCACAACGTACAGACCGAGGTACTACTGCTGTACAACGTTTTCAGAGTAGTTTCGTGTAACTTGGGGGGAAAGGCGTCCGGAAGGAATCCTGGTGGGATTTGCGTCGTCCGTCCACAAAAATATAACTGTTGGAGATTTTTAGCATTCTTTTCTCTGCGGTAACAATCAATGGTGGTCATGAATGAGAGAGAGCTGCGGCCACGCAACCTCATATTCCGAGCTCGTCCGCGCCTGACTGGGTGTGTGCCCATGCGGTGTCAACAGCATGCAGAAGAACAAGCAACCTACTTTACACAGTCTAAATATAGAAGTACCTTTCCGTGTACATCGTTAGACGTACACCGTCCGGGGGGTCCACACAAGACGGGGGGGAGGGGCGAACCCCACGCTCCCGTACAATGTAGCTCAATGTGAAGCAAACCTCCGCCCCTGCATTGGGGGAATATCATGTATCGGTGCAGGACGATATGGCATCACCTATTAAGTGTGTAGGCCTACTACTGTGTGTGGGTATCTATTTTGCCGATCGACGGATCTCTCGATGAATGGTCGAAAGGGTAGTATTTCTGTCTAGTTATGTTGTTTTCCTGAAAAATGATATCGACGGTGCCTTGAACCATTATTTAGATGTTCCGCGTGCTTGCGCAGGGGTGGGAACAAAAAGGATTAATTGCTAGTTTATATCCATCTTAGACTTTTCTCAAGACAGAGATGGATTCGTTGGGTCATACTACGAAAATATGTTACCCAAAAAGTGGTGACAAATATTCTCTTCCAATTGCCGGCGTCAGGTAAACCACCGTGAGTTGTGAACTCTGTCCCATTGTTGACAAGCACGAAAACACGTGTGACCTCGCCCGCTCACGCCCGCACCGCCTTTGCCATGCGTATCCCAATACATAACTCAAACTTCAGGCGTGCACCATGCAGAACCCTTCGGTGACATTCACGTGCCACGTTTGCGGCACGGTGGACGAGGGGCAGCGGGCCAAGGCCAAGGAGGCCGGGGATGGGACCGCGGAAGACGGAGTGACCCCGGCGCTGCTGTCTAGGCTTTCGAGAGACGGCCACTTTTCCCTCCAAAACTACCTGGTGAGCTTCTCATGTCGTCCTGCGTCGCTGCTGTGTAACATAACGAATCCATCTATTTTATTTGCCACAGACATGAATCAGGATTAGAAATGAATCCTTGGACGCTTTTCTGTGTGTTTGTTCTATTCGGGTGTCTGTAGAACAAAAGACGCGGTGGGTGTATGCCGTAGGGCACGCACACCCCTTTCGCGGTTCTCGCCGAAGATATCAACGAAAAAACACGCGACACATTTGTCTATCTCGCTATTGACGGGTGGGATTGACTGCTACAGTATATGAATTTGTTAGGTACTCTGCCTTTTTTCTCTTTTTAGCATGCCTGTAACGTAACGTTTTCCCTCCCGCTCCCGTTCCCATCGTGTTTTTTTCCCGTGCCACCCCCCCCCCCCAATGGGCGTTGTCGACACGACACCGCGCGGCTTCGTCTATAGACCAAACTTTGCCACACCCTAGCGCTGGCGGCGGCCGAGGCGGAAACCGGGTTATCCCGCCCGAACATCGACCGAGCGTTCATCCCGGTGCTTCTGGAGCTCATGTCAGACCCCGGCAGCCGGCGGGGGCCGGACGTGCCGCTGCAGGCGTGCCGCGCGCTCAACTACTTCCTGCAGGTGCGGCAGGGTGTGGGGAGGAGAGATAGGTCGGCTTGGCGTGTTGTTGTGCTGTTGTATCCGGGCTCCTATGCTGTACATCTGGCTTATGAACCACTTGCGCATTTGTGGCTTCTAACCGGCAACACAGCAGTACAATAGTAGTTCTCGGGTTATGCTGCCTTCGGCTCTTGCAAGTTGCACGCTGTCGCAAAAGGGGGTTTACTCTAGCGAAGCAGTACCCGAGACTTGTTGCTGGCTGCGGAGGTGATGCCTGGCCGACCTCTCCGGGTATGCGTAATGTGTGCTGCTGCTGCGTGAGAACCCTTTACCTTCCACGGGTGATTCGCTCAGGTCGCCGTGCCGTTTTTTTTTTTTGGTGCCGGCCGCGTGCGCTCCGCACGATGTCGCTCTGCGCGCAGATCGGGGCCGCCAGCGATGTCGGCGTACAGCGGGGAATGCGGACGTACGCGCTGTGCATCACCTGCTCGGCTACGGCGGGCACCGCGGAGTACCAGGTACGACTTGTCGCGTCTCTTCAGACATCGTGTTTGATACAGGGAAATCGACTAAATACCGTCGCGGGAAGAGGGCGATGTACTTCTGTTGCGTCTTTCTGTAGGCTTAGACTGCTGCTGCTGCTGCTGCGTTTTCTCATGCAAGCATGCTTGGCGTGTTTCAGGGACGAGAAAACATAACTCTTCCCTCTTCCTGTCGGTTCTCTTGTTGTATTTATTGCGTGATGTTTGGTGTGGAAATTTGCTGCTCCTCGCCGGCGGGGGGTCTCAGGAGCTTGGCCAGGAGGCGGTATCTGGGGTGGACCTGCTCTGCCGCACCTCGGCGGAGTTTCTGAGGGAGCTGGCCGAGACGGACATTGGCGGCGGTGGCGGGAGAGTGCTGGCGTCGTTTGTGCGAGGCGTCTACCGTTCGTCGGGAGGGAGGTGGGTTCAGCGGTGGCGGGGAGAGGGTCGTCCCGTCTCTCGGTTAGGTATTACGCATGTAGCGGTTTTTGCCGCAAAGCGTGTGGCGTGTCCTTGGCTAAGAAATGTTTCAGGTTGGCCTCTTCTTCTCTCGTTACGCCAGGTATTGCAGATCCAACTGCTCCCACGCCAGCCACCACACGCGCATCCCCCCAAGTGTCAGCGGTATCAACCTCGAGTGCTGCGTTCCTTGGTCCCCTCTTGCCGCTTCTTCCCTGCCCCGCGTGACGATCAACTCTCCCATCATAGTCGTCGGGGTAGCGTTTCTGCGTCTCCGGTCGGACACTCGCCGGGGGGAAGCGGGGCGGGGCTCGCGGTGGAGGACCGTCGCAACAACCGCGCCGGCGGCGCCGGCGCCGGCGCCGGCGCCGAGGCGGCGGTCGCCAAGGCTCTGTCGCTGCTCCCGCTCATTCTCGAGCTTCACCCGAGGCCTGCCGGGGCGCCACCACCGACCAAGCAGGGAGGCGGCGGCGGCGGCGGCGGCGGCAACGACGAAACCGCCGCCGCCTCTGTCGTCTCGGCCCTTCAGGGCAAGGAAACGGCGCCCACCGGTGTCGTTGGTGACGACGAGCACGCTGACGCGGACGCGGGCGACGGCGACGACGAGCTGCAGGCGATCCTCGAGGCGTTGCTGGCGGTGCTCAGGGGAGCGTCGGCGTCCAACCGCGAGGTGGCGCTCGCGACCCTGGGGTCCAAGGTGCTCCCGAGGCTCGGGGGCGCGGCCGCGGGGGGCAGGGAGTGGCTCGGGGAGCTCATCACGGACAAGGACCTGCTGGTCGCGGCGATCGAGGACCGCTCCTCGCGCAGCGCCGCGTGCCACCAGCGCGCCCTCGGGCTGACGTACCAGCTTCTGGCGTCCTCGCCGGAGCTCATGTCCCTGGCGCTCGAGCCCGGGTGTCCCCTCTTCCCCGCCGTGCTCGACGCGCTGGGCGACGGCGGAGGGGGAGGGCTTGGTGGAGATGCCTCGGGTTCTCGGCCCGGCATGGACGGTTCGGGCAGCAGCCACCACCACAACCACCGTCGAATCACGTCCGGTGGCGGTGGCGATGGCGGCGGCGGCGGCGGCGCGCCAGGGACGCCGAGGTCCGCGCCGCGGACGCCGCGGCTCGCGGGTATGTCGGGGGACGGGAGGCGGATGAGTCGGACCGGCGGGGCCGCCGACAGCGAAGCGGCCGGGCGGAGCGGGCTGGCTGTGTTGCGCATCGTGGGGCTGGTGCGTGCGCGGGTTTTTGGACTTTTACTCGCGTGTGTTTTTGTCCCGACTATGCTGGCGGCGACGACGTGAAACCGAGAAGTCACTTTTCCGTTTCCTCTTTTTTAGTGCGCCATGAAATTAGTTCACCAAGGTGCTGGAGAACGGGGCGCGTTCCCCCTGCTACGTGTTTTTTTGTTGCTTGCAAAAAAGCACGCATTTGAGACGATGGCGTCGTGTCAATAGAGTGAACCGCCCGCCATTATCATGGTACGTGTCCTTCTCGCGAAAAGGCGTCGCACTCTCTCGGGCCCGTTTTCGTAACGCTTTGCGTCGTCCTTACCTTTCTTCTTGTTGCCGTCCTTGCGCATGCTCTGCTTGCTTTTCTGCCGCGCTTGCAGGTGGCCGCGGCTTTCGTCGACGGACGGCTGCCGAAGCCCTCCTCGCTGCTCCTGGGCAGCTCGGGAGGGGGAGGCAGAGGGACCACCGGGTACACGCCCGGACCGGCCATAATGGTGCAGGTGCAGCCCGAGAACACCCCGACTCGGACAGGCGGGGGCGCCACCGCTGCTTCTGGGGATCTGAATGGCAGCGGCGGTGGCAGCGGTGACGGGAGGCGCGATCAAGGATTGGGCGGGAGCGCGCACAGCTCAGCTCTCGTCAGCAGCGGCGCGTCCGCCCGGCGCGCCCGCGCTGGGTCGGGCGCGAAGGAAAACCAGGAGCGCCGAGCGAAGCTTCTGGCCGATTTGGGAGACGGAACGGTGCTGGTGTCTTGGGCGAATACTGGGGTCGAGGAGGCGAGTGATTTTCCGTCCCCCTGCGTAGTGCATCGCGATACGCCAACAGCCCGAACTGGGGTATTGGGAGCCTTGGGGCTGGGCACAACTACAGTACCCGCATCAGTATTTTATGTTGTCTACTGGTCTTAGCCGAGTTTTCATTTACGTCTCCGCTCCGCACCACACGTGCCGATCCTGGCGCGCACGCTCGGGCGTTTGGTTGTGTGCGCATAGACGTGTGTGTTAAACAACACAGGTCAGGTGTGCCTGACGGCCTTCCCTTGCCCCTCTTTCTCCATTCCCCCTTGTCCGTTCATGCCCTCTGACCCGACCGCCAGATCATCGCCGCGAGACGGGTGCTCCTGTCGTCCTCGAACTCCCTGACTTCGAGAGCCAGGCGCTCGCTAGCCCGCAACTCGCTCTTCAGGACGATGATGTCTCTCGGCGGGGACCCCGGCAGCGGGGACAGCGACAGCAACGGTGACGGGGGCGGCATCGACGATGACCCGCTGGCTAGCTTCAGCCTCAGCGCTCTGGGCGCGCTGGGGGCGCTCGGTGGAGGAGGGGGTAGGGGAGGCGGCGCGGGAGCGAGGGCGGAGAAGTCGATCCTTAACGACTTCCTTGGGCAGTTTATCCAGTCCGGCAACGCCACCACGGTGAGGAATTCCCGAAATCTTTTTTTATTCTCGTGTGGCGTGTTAGTGGACCATATGGTATGTATTTCCCTGCCTGTGTGCCCGGGGACGGTGTTTTTCTCTGGGTTTGAAGAAAGGAGCACCCGCCCCGCCTAGTGATTCATTCGCTCAGGAATGTACTGTACTTCTGGGTTTTGTTTGTGTCTGGGTGGAATTACGGTTGGTATGCAGGTAGTTGTCGCGACGGCTTTTGCTGGGAGCTGTTGTGAAGATCTCGTTTTTGGCCTTCCTCTCCCGATTCCCCCTACCCTCCTGACCTGGCACATAGTATGAACTTGAATCGGTGCGCGTTCTGGGTGACGGTTGCGCAGCTTCGGCACGTCCTGGCCGGCGGCGCGGACCCCAACCGCTTGATCAGGCCCGGCCAGTCGGCCCTCATGGCCGCTGCGGCACACGAAGGCGGAACGGCGACGGCGATCGAGATGACGCGTATCCTCCTCGACGCGGGAGCGGACGCCGGGTTCGTTGGCCCGGAGGGATCGGCTCTGCATGCGGCAGCGGCTACAGGGCGGGGCGAGGTCGTCTCGGCTCTAATAGATGTGAGTCATGTGCATATACCACCAGTTTGTTTGTGTTTTTTTTTTCATCCCCAGGGTGCGGGTGGAGTAGGCAGAGGCTGGAATGGCGAGAGAGCGGCGCTCGCGATCTCGCACTCTCTTGTTGAGTCTCCAACCCAAACACGTGAGTGTCCCGTGGGCAGTCAACACTTGCGGCGCAAATCCGAATTTTCTGGCGAACACCGGCCGCCTGCGCATGTGGCAATGGTTCTGATACGCACGATTTCTCTCTCGTTGTCTTTCTTCGTGTGCGCGCGCGCGCCAACGATGCGTTCATCCGGCAGGCCGGGGCTGACCTCGAAGCCACCGACGGGGACGGCTGCACCCCCCTCGAGGTCTGCACCGACGAGCCCGTCATGCTGATGCTGGCGCAAGCCCTGGAGGACGCCGACGAGGCTGAGGCCAAGCCCACGAAGGACGCAGCAGCGGCAACGGCAGACGACGGCGGTGCGACGTCGCCGCCGCCGGAAGAGCAAGGAACGGCTACGGAGGCGGCGCCTGCGCCTGCGGCGGCGGCGGCGGCGGCGGCGGCGGCGGCGGCGGCGGCCGGGAGCGACAGCGGCGGCGGCGGCAGGGACAACAATGATGCGGGCAGAAAGCCTCCGGCCATCGCTGCGGCGGCCAGCGTGTCATCGTCGTCGTCGTCGTCATCGTCCTCCTCCTCCTCCTCCTCGTCGTCCTCTTCCTTGCCGTGTTCGCCGACCCCTGCTCCTGCTGGGGCCCGTGGTGGTACTGTAGCTGCGGAGAGGGCTGAGCCCTCGCGTCCTGAGCGTGAGGCGACGGTGTCGCCGGGGGAGGCTGGTTCGGCCGTGACAACGGCGGTGGTGACAACGGCGACGGTTGCGGCGGGAGCTGGCGGAAGCCGGGAAGAGGCGATGGTGCTTGAGCTTCCCGAGGATAACGGCCAGATGGTGCGTCGCCACGCGCTTGCTTGCATGTGTCGGCCGATGGGCGTCGTATGCATGTGTTGTTGCCGCAAGGGTTCTCAACCTGTGCTCCGGTCACGTATCTGTCCTGTTGACCTGGCGCTCGCCTTACGCCCCTTGATCCACGATTACTATGTACCAGGTGTGCACTGAAAACGCTGCCTATCTTATGACCGATGGGTGCGCGACGCGCTGGGTGATGCGATCCCCCCAAGTCGTATGAAACGCTTTCAGTTCTACTATCTGTGCGACCCCTCCTGTCCCTTGTCTGTAAAATCGTCGTGACCCTTTCCAAACAGGTGTGTGTGCTCTTGCAGACTCTGGGCCAGAGCTTCATGGCCAACCCCGCGGCAGCGCAGGGACTCTCGGCCGCGCTCGCTCCCCCCGCTTCCACCGCCAACGTCGGCGGCGGGGGCGGCGGCGGGGCCTCCTCGGGAACTAGGAGAGGCGCCGGCGGTGCTTCTGGAGGGTCGGCCCCCCCGCGGGACGGCGCGGCGTCGCAGCACACGGTCTCCGTGTCTCTCGGCAAGGCGTGGCTCGAGATTCTTGTCAAGCTGATGCGGCGCGCGAGCGAAGACGGAGTCGCCGTGGCGGGCCGGGATGGCCGAGGCGGGGTCGGCGGTCGAGGTGACGGCGCGACCGGAACCGCCGTCGTAAGGGACGCTCTGGAAGACCCCTCGACGAGAGACGCGCTTCTGGTTCTCTTCGAGCGGACCGCGGCCGGTGTTGCCGCCGCCGCTGCTTCTGCTGCTGCGGCCACTGCGGCGGCAGCGGCGGCGGCGGCGGCAGTCACGGAGGAGGAGACTGGCGGGGCTTCTTCCGCGACGGTGCCCTCCTCCTTGTCGAGTCTGGCTTCTTCTTCCACAGCAGTAGAGGAGCGGAAGAGTCTGGCGTGGGCAGACCCGGCGCTTGTGCTGCGGTCGCTCGTGCTTCTTCGAGAGGTGTTGGTCCGTGTGCCGGATACGTACGTGGTGCCGCTGCGACGGCGTGGAGTTCTGCACAGGTTTGTCGGCTCTGCAAGGCGCCACCGCCGGCGCACTCCCTTTGTAAAATTGTCGCGGCCGTGGTGGTAGCTCCGAGGGCATCCCGTCGCGTGGCTATGTGCTCCTTATGCGTGTTTAGTTTCGCTGCGTCATTTTTTTTCTTCCTGTCTTACGAGATTGTCCCCTGTCCCAGTCCCTCTTTCGTCGGATCGCTTAACCCCCGCGCGCTTACAAGCACCTCCACGCGTACACGCCTCACGCCACGCCTCACACCACCGTGCGCCCTCCGTTCGCCAGTATCCGCAGCGTTGTGGAAGCTTCGAGGGTACCCCCGGTCCTCCACGGCAGCTCGTCCTTGCCGTTGAGTGCTGCGATATCCGCCGCCACGAAGGAAATCATCGATCTTTGCGACGCCCACCAGAGCTTGAGGACCGCCCGGAGCCTGAGCCTGGAAGGCGGCGGGGGCGCGGCGGGGGCGGCGGCCGAGGGAGAAGAGGTGGATCGCCTGGCCGCGACGGCTTCCTCGCTTAGGGAGGCGGTGGACGTCTTGCGGCGCCACACGGTTGAGGGAGGAGGCGACGGCGGGGCGGCCGCGGTTGCGGAGGATACGCTCGTGGCCGGGCGGCGGGCGATGGGGGCGGTGAAGGAGCTGGCTGGGCTGCTCGCTAGCGAGGTATAAGACGGCTGCTGAGTCTTTTTCTTGACGCACTTTGACCAGAATCGTTGGTGACTTGCGCTCTTTGCTTTCAGGATCATCGGAGAGTTTTTGTGCTGTAGAAGCTGCGATGCTGCTGCTGCTGCTGCTGCTGCTGCATTGAGAGTGTTGAACGTTCGTGGCTCTCTGTGGCGGTGCAGGTGTCGCCGGAGCCTCAGCTGTCGCAGCACATTGTGCATCGCTCCCTCGCGTCAACGACCAAATAACTAGACCCATGCCCGTGCTTCGCACAACAACGTTGGTTGCCTTTTTGATGCCCGCCACCACCACTACCACCACAAGAACAGCAGTCATGATCCTGCCTGCCTGCCTGCCTCCCCACTCTTTATTGCAGGATGGAATCACGGCCTTCGAGGCTCTAGAGTCCGGGGTCCTGCACCCCCTCCGGGAGCTCTTGGTGTGGTTGGAGGGAGCAGCGGCCGGCGCCGGTCCCACCGGTCGCCCCCTGCTCACGGCGGGCGCCAAGGTGGCAGCGGAGCTAGAGCGAGACGCGGTGGGCGCTCTCGCGCTGGTTCCGACGACCGTTTCCGAGGGGAAGAACGGAAGGGGTACGGAGCCGGAGCCGGAGGCTGGGATGGACAAGGCTGCGGGAAGCGTAGCCGTTCTCGAGGTGGGATCTATCGACGCTCTGGGTTACTTTGGGGGGGACGTTGAACGCATGTTGGGGGATGTTCTGTGTTTTGCCGTCGTGCGTTGCGATGTGGTCGAGCTGCGGGCGTGTTGTTGTTTTGTTGTTGATGGTGGTGGTGGTGGTGGTGGTGGTGTATTGCGGTGGTAACCTGTACTGGGTGTGGGTATGGTTGCTGTTGTGGTTGCTGCGACGCGTACTACCGCTCATGATTCGATTAACGATCATGGCGCGCGGAAACCTATTGAAACCTTACCTTCCCCTGGCGACATAGTGGAAACAACCACCCGCCCAAGCACTCACGAGACCTACGTAAACGTGCTTTGCCTGATGATGTTTGACGCGCTCAGCTTATCCGACTCATCCACGACGTCATCGGGGTCGAGATCCTCCAAGTCGAGGGTCCGGACTCCCGACACGCCCCAGCCTAGCGCGAGCGGCGGCGGCGGCGGCGGTGGGGGCGGCGGCGTTGTGGCTCTTCGGGGGCGCTCGAGGCATCTTCGGAGGCGGCGGGGGCCACGCGACGCGGCAGCGACGGCGGCGGCACCGGTACTGGAAGCCCTCTCGATGCCGATGATGCTGCAGCTGCAACCCTCAAAGACCGGATTGTGCCACGTGCGGTCGAAG